CACTTATACGTGTTTGTGGATGTGATCTGTGTGTGGAGTGTTGCTTAATGTAATATTATGTCACTAGAAAGTCGGTGCTAGCTGTTTGACCAACTTATTGGTGTTACATCACCGAGACGCGGACAGAGTCGCGCGACCATCCTTGTCGGATGATGGGTTTGGAACTATCAGCTTATAGTTTGATTTGATAACAATAATGTAATGAAATTGTCACTAATATTTGATTGGTAACCTTTGCTGTTCCTATTTGGAGACATAGAAATAAATGAAATTGCCTTTTACTTCCATTTTTCCGAAGATTTGATTTAACTATTTAAGATAATTCCTTTTGTTACATTCAACATTTTTTACATGTTATGTTTATGACAAGTTTGAATCATAATAATGACACTACGAAAACGATAATTGTCTTGTTCTAAACTAAAAGATCAAATCCGATTAAGGTGGGAGAACTTCTCTTTCACTAAGGTCAGGTGGGGTATTTCAACTGGTTCTGCGGAGACCAGGAAATATATCTAAAATACTGTTTTTAATCTTCAAATTGAATACTTTTAATTGTGTTTTTACATACCAGCAATGTTCAGATAATACTTGCACAATAGTTTACTTAGCAAAGAATCTGTAACCGATACCTTTCTGATAACGATGTAAATCCAATATGGCTGACAGTAACGGACATAATCGAAACAAAAAACTTGTAAACCGATATTTTGTGGGTCGCAGCTTCTTCATAAAATATTGTATTTCAATGAAATGATACGTCAAATTTGTTTCCTTAATCCAAAAAGTTTTCATAATTTTCATAACATATTCCTCTCATTATAAATACAATATCTATTGGAGTATATTTCCATGTTGGTAATTGAAGTGGGCGTGTTTTTTATCGTCATGTTGGTAAACCGTTTCGTTTTTACGCGGATATGCCTCTCCGGGTCACTTTCCCTCAACGATATTCAAACTATAGCACCTTTTTGGTGTAATTTATTCAAAGATTTATGGAACAACCATATGTTTTGGATAAAATAAAGAAACAAAGTAATTTATATCGTTTTTGATCAAGTTTAAATACGCGAGGCTATTGTTTTAGCAGTACATTATATCTTTGAATGGTTTGAGTCGAACATAAAATAACTTTCGCTTAGCATGCTCTAAATATGAAGCGCCATTGTTTTGTTACGAATAAACGGTGGAAACAGAAGTATGATTTCAAATTTTCTTTAATTATAAAATTAAACATATACATTTTGTTTCTGCTAACATAAAAGATATTCGTTTAAATGAAGTTAATATTTTTTGGATTAATTACGCGTGCTTTATTTCCAAAAGACATTTTTAAATATAATTTTACTTGATCGTTTCAAAATTTGTATTATATATGTATTTACCAGCGACTTATCCATACGTATGTTTAAAAGGAAACGTGTTCTTAATTATATGTAAAAGATAGGAAAAGATAACTCGTGAGTATAATATGAACGGAAGGTGGCGCTGATGACATATTACAACATGTCTCATTACAAGCGGGAATGATAGACGGAAGTTATTATCTGAGGACTGTTAACAGCTTGTTGGAGACACAGAGAAATGTTTGTATGATATTATAAATCTTTATTAACGAGATTAAGTGTATTTTGTTAAGATTTTGGAAGATTGAAACAATGCTATCACCAAAATCGTAATATACGAATAATTTCTTTATAATATATATTTATTTTCTTTTACAAAACATCATCGTGGCTTTTATGAAACTGTAAAATAAGTATATTTTATTTATCTCTGTTTTCTTACACGTTTTCACTTATGAGGAATATATCTTGTTAATCTTTAAAGAGTAACTTTATAAGTCGCCTTCAATACTGACATCAATATTATAATTTAAACTGTTTCCTGTTGAAATTTTTATTTAAATAGATTCAGTACTAAAATCAGTGGTGGCCTTGTGGTTAAAAGGCCCGCCTCTCATGCATGAGGGCGCGGGTTCGATCCTGGCCCGGGCAAGTACCAATGAGATTTTTCCGAGTCATATATACCTATTTTCTAAAAGTATTTAGACATCATTGATTTTATGCATTCCCAAAGAGGGTTGATGTCAGGCAGGCGGCCGGTCGTAAAAACAATTAGCCAAAACTATGAGCAACATGTAAGGCAGACCCTGGCTAAATCTGGGAAATTGACAGGAAGAAGAAGAAGATTCAGTACTGATCTTAATATAACAATACTCAGATTAATTCATAAAACATGTTTAAATAATAGTTGAGAACATATATGTACAACTAATATTTTGTAAATATTAAAATCCCCTCCATATTAAAAGGTTTTTAAAAATTATATCGGCACCAGCGAGGAATTTAACGAGTAATCATTTTGAAAACGAGCTCATTCTTTTATAATGCTGGATCAATATGAATTAAACAGATAAGGAAACAAGCTTTAAAATGAACAACGAAATCAGACAATCCGTTTTGGAGCTACGATGAAACACACATACAGACAGACATGGATATCAAACTTATAACATCTTTTTGTGTCCAAGATTCAAAATGTACTTAAAGAAATAAAAATATATATCTTGTTAAATGAAAACAAGGCCGTTAGAATGATCTCCATGTAATGAGAACAACATTAGAAAACAAACCATGAAAGAACGTTCATCATCAGTTTATAAAAATGATGATCTCATACATCATACACACTTTCACTCATTGATCTTCGGATAGAAACGATTCGGATTTCAGAATCTGTAAGATCTGATGAGATTTGATGAGTACTGATGAGATCTGATGAGTTTTGATGAGTTCTAATTTTCAGTCTGTAAACAGTCACCATTACATACTCAAGCTGACACATTGTAGCTAATACCAATTTTGATTTCTAAACTAAATACCATCAGTCCTAAAGTTTACGAATGAATAACTGTAGTTCTGTAGTATACAAGATTGACGTGTTAACAGAAAAACTGGTGGTAACGAAGTAAACGCAACCGAATATAAAAATAAAGAATGAAGTGTTGTGTGTATCTGTTATATACTTAAAGAAAGATTTTTATTTAGTCTAAGAAGTTACTCATTCTTCTACCTGGCAATTTCCCAGCTTCAGCCAGGGTCTGCCTTACATGTTGTGAATAGTTTTGGCTAATTGTTTTTACGACCGGCCGCCTGCTTGACATCAATCCTCTTTGGGAATGCATTAATCAGTGATGTCTAAATACTTATAGAAAGTACATATGACTCGGAAAATCACATTGGTACTTGCCAGGATCGAACCCGCGCCCTCGTGCATGAGAGGCGGGCCTTTTAACCATTAGGCCACCACTGACTTACCCATTATTAAATATTTCTCCAAAATCTGATCTATTGTCACATTTTATTTCATTCAAACTAGTTCAGTCGTTTTAAGTCTACAAATAGATTCCCTCACGAGGTAATATCTCACCATCAGACCAAAAAAACCCCGATTTTATTTGAAAGTAAGCTTCAATGTTAATAATATTACAAAATCTGTTTTATTTATAATAGAAATATTTTAATGTGGTTGCGTAAATCCTCTTACTTCTGAATCACGAGATCCGCCAGCTGGCTGTCGAGCGAGATACAATCTTATGACAATAACATAAGATATAATATCCATTAACACGACGTAAAGAAACTTCACATCTGGGCCGTATTTGTCATGTGTTTGGTAGATTACGGTAAAAAAACCGAGTTTCATAATTATTGATATTAAGAATTACTAAATTTTAACATTCCGAGAAACGTTTGGCCTTACAAAAAAATTTGGTAATAAAAAATCTATGTCAGTATCTCAGGATGCTAATTTTATGAATAATTTGACAAAATTAAGTTAAAAAAATATTGAATAGTTTAAAATCCATTAATGCGTTTGAAAGTAAAAGTTTTTCAAGCCGTTCTCAATTCGCGAATTATTCGCCATACAGTAATTTAAAGTTATAAATCCTTTCAACTGTGATGAGCTCGTTAAAGTTCAGTTTATTTTATTGTGTGGTCATAATACTTTGAAAACGTTTGTCTTTATTACGGCAATCCATCAGACAGAAATCAGCGTCAAATATATCCGCGAACTATGTGGCATTAATATAATGATTATAAATAAAGAACTTTTCATTGACTTATAAATAATGGAATTACATTATACTTGTAAATATATTTCTTTATTTACTTATATTTAAATGAGAATATTACATCAAAGTATTGTCAAGAAAATTCTGAGCTAGAGATTTAATTTGAACAAAAAGTATAATTCATAATATAAGAATAATTGACAAGAGAGATTTTGAGTTAAATGTAATAGATTTTGGAATAAATTTTACGTGATATTGAAATATTTATTTTATCTACACCTACCAATAAACATATAGTTTAGTATATATATATATATACATATATGGTTGTATTGTTCGTTCGTGTGTGATTCGCGATCAAGCGCCGGCTCCAGTGAAAGTCATTACGTGAGCAACCGACACTGTGTCAAGAACTGATCTTTTTGAGATATTAAATAATTAATTTATACGGAAATCAATATTTTGTTTATATATTACATAACAATTAATTTGATAACACGTTATGAATAAGAAATATGTCAAATTAAAAGATATTAAAAGGTAATATTTAGATAAACTTACCTGAAACCTTATGATGAAGAAATATGAACATTTTTTTGTTAATAATATATACATGTATGTGAGGAAGCAAGACATAGTTAGGATAGAGCGAGATAGATAATGATAAGAGCGAGATAGTGATATGAGTGTACCTGAAGGTTCCGGGAGTATGGAGCGTCAGACGGGAACGAACTAGCTATGTCTTGCCACACGACCACATAGAGCTCAGTTAGTTCAATAATACACACCCTCACACCGAACTGTAATTATGACACAAATATCGGGACGGACGGAACCAGAGTCCTCTGGAGGGTCGTCGCTTTGAAAAGACATTTGAGATCATCATTACGTAACGGTGTGACGGATGTCCGCGGTAACTTACTCTCGTCGTTTATAACCGGACCATAGCTCAGTCCTTCGTTGGGTGTGAACTCTAAGCTGTTGGAGTCCTGTACGCCGAGGATGCCGGACTTGGCTACTCTGTGACAGCAGCCCTTGAGCAAGCTGCCGCAAGAACCGTCCAGCAGACCTCCAACCATCCAGCAATAGAAAAAGAACTCGCACGTCCCTCCTTGCGGGCAGTTCTTCTCATACTGCCTCTCAATTTTCTTATTCTCTATCCCCACAGGGTCGGGTTTGTCCAAAACTCTCCCTCTTCTACTATCTCTGTTCGTGCTCGTTATTTCTTTAATAATATCGTTAATCTTCTGTATCTGCGCGTCTGATATCGGTCTAAACTCTGGCAGCACGTGACTCATGTTCACGTTCTCCTGGAACACTCTCTCCGTCAACTCTGTTTGAACAAACATTGGTTTCTGTAAAGTATACCGTCGTTCGTACGATCTTATAATGTATTTCAATCTTTCTATTTCGTTGCTCTGAGCTCGATGTGGTTCGTTGGCATCTGTACGGAAATAAAATAGAATATAATACAGTGGAAGAAGAGTAGGGTGAAGAAGATATGAAGAAGCTGGTAAGATGATTAGCGAGGATGTTTATGTACATGGTAGATGTGTTAGTTACAGACATGCTTGTATGATGTACAATACAGTATACTGAAATAAATCTTTAGTTTATTATGAATGAGAAACTATTTAATAAGACCAAACTAGTAAATAGACACAGGATTGAAATACTAAATAAAATAAAAAACACTACTAAAAGATTGAAAGGAATGAATTGTAATATTTCTATGGAAACAGTGACACGTGAACCAGAAAATAGAATTAATTATTTACATAGAGATTATAATTTATATTTCATAAGAAAAAATAATAGAAGACTTTGGCGAAGCTACTTCATGGTAGATAGTTTTCCAAATGTCACAATAAACGTTCAGGTCGTGTTAATGTATAGAAGACACTATGGCTCAGTTTACGCACTGACGGTAACTTAATGTAAGATGTATCGCGGGTTCCCATGATGTTTGTATGAAGAGTATAAAACATATATGTTTCTCATACAGTTTCTTTATGAAAAATAATTATAGGAATAAGAAATGAATTCATCGTAAAATATTGATAATAAGAATTACAAAGTTAAAATATCTACGAAATATATCGAAGGTTTAAAATTATAAGGAAATGTTTGTTTGAAACTAAACTTGTTGAATTTAATATAATAAGTATAATAATCTGAATGAAATTTTAGTTTTACGTGATGCTGAGATTTACAGACGACACAAGGACGAGAATATTGTTATATAATAAAATAAATATAACATATTTATATATATTTACATGAATGCCCTTAGTATGAGTGTTACAAAACGTTAAACTTATAGTTAGTAAGTGTCTCGTCGAGTCAACGTGACGCGAACTATCGTCATGTTCAGTACTTCATAACGTTAAACCAGAAATATTTTACTTTGATATCGTGAATACTCTATACTGCGTGTATTTAGTTTATGACTGCCTCGTACTAAGGTTTAATAGGATGTAACAGCTGACTGTAACTTTCACGTGTCGGTCTCGTAATATTATATAATTAAAGAACAATTTGTATTGTGTTACAGTTGTCATCGCTAGAAGTGATCGTACGCCATTTTAAAATAATTTTGACATTACAAATGTTAGGGTATTTAAAAGTAAGGTAAAGTTATAGAAAGTGGTGAACTAACTACCAAGTAATAAGTTAACGGAGTGTGAAATAAGTTAAATAATGATTTTAATTACTCAATCAATTAGACATTAACATCGAGGTTTTTGTTACGATTAGAAATAATTTGAAGTTATTTAATATGTCTTCGATGAGAATTTTGTTAATGATCTATTCATTCTTATATATCAAAAAGTTATTTTTTATTTATACTAATTGTGTATCTTGATTTGTCATGATTAAAAAATTATATATTAGAAAAAATGACACGAAAATATATGAAGCAATTAACACGCAGAACATTTAATATCAATTAATTATCTATTATGAAGTATTTTTTATTGTTTTAATGTTATTATTTAACAATAATCATTAAATTCTGACGTCACACTTTCGGTTTCAGTCTTATTACAGTTGTTAAACTCAACAACTGTACATAATTAGTTCATACAACTACGGACTCGAGTTGGAGTCATTGACATGACACTAGAGAGGGACGGCTGTACACGGATGTATGATGTTAGAGAGGGATAGATATATGTGTGTGTGTCAAGCGCGTGGCAGTGAAATCTATTAAGGTAGAGCGTCTTTATTTAGTTATATTTTATATATACTCAATATGAATACTTCATCTGTGTAGCTTAAAACAAATAATTCTTGGCAGAATATAATATGCAGTTGACTTTTACTGACGTTTGTAAAAAAAATATAAACGTCAAATTTTTATTAATCAATATTTGATCATGAAATTTAAAAGATGTCAAAAGAATATTTTGATGACATATTTCCAGTGAAACTCTGTTTAGTTCTCATCTTGTGTTAAATATAAACATAGAACAGGTATTGATGTTATGCATATATAATATGTATATTACACAATCAGAACACATATAAACTGTAGTGACTTTAAAAAATGTGAATAAAAAAATGTTTTCCATTGAATCCATTTTTATATTCTCTTTATATGAAATAGCCTTAGTTTTAAACTACGTTGTTAAAAGTAAAAGATTTTTTAACCTTTTATGGTGATAATACGTTCATTTCTATAATTAATCCAAATTTTCATACTGTTGTTTAATTAATATTAATTAAATAAAACTTTAAGTAATAATTTATTGTACTATTACATATTTATTCTTCGCCTTAACATCATTCACTTCACAAGTGAAGCCTCTTGCGTGATAAACGCGACTTCCCCAGTTTTTAATATATTATATATTTTCCGTACATTATATATTATATTATATATCACTGTTACTCTCTACGAAATTATATAAAATCTATATATCGTCGGGGACAGTGCGAACAAGCATACTTAACTACCATAAAATAATTTCGAATATCTACATTGGATGCAGATTATTAGATGAATGTTTAAACTGAAATATTTTGTATATTAACGACTTTTAAGATATTTTTCTTATAGTTAATAATCATAATTCAAACACTAATTGTGAAAAAATTACTTCTTGTGTTCGTCTTGTATAGAGCGAAACTATGAAAACACGAATTTTACGATATTTAAATAAAATGATAGAAATTAATAAATAATAAAGTATTTAGAAACATTGTAATATATATTAACTAAATGTTATTGTGTACAGTCGAGTTATATTAGAAAAAAACTGTATCACGTACAGACAGTTATACTATACTCTGAGACTAAGATTTGTTAGACAAATAACTTTTACGTATGAGGGTTAAAAAATATAAAAAAAATCTTTTGAAAAATATTCAAATAAAAGTTATAATAATTATTGTTTATACGAAATGTTAGTATAACTTTAGTTATACAGTTTTCTTTCAACAATTCTTTATATATAAAAGAAAGTGGTGTTAGTTATATTATTTATAACGCAAGAACTTCTGTACGGATATGGATGAACATTAGTGGAGAGATAGATTAGAACCAGGAGACGGACATAGGATATTTAACTATGTTGGATTGAAATAAAAAAATACTTAATGAATTCCAATATCTGGTTATTTACAGCCTCTAAGGCGGAATAGAGTTCGTCCTTTCAGCTATACATTTCTAACTTTAAAGTAACACAGACGAAGTCGCGGTCAAAAACTAGTAAAACCACGTTTTATTTTATTTTTATGTACATATGGTTATGTCAGAGGTCGAGTCGTGTGTAATTGGTACATGATGTAACTTGTGACATAACGGATAATGTCACGTTGAATAACTGTAGAGAGGGTCAGGAAATATTATTGACATTATTTAACAGGAATTTATTGACATGTTCGATAATATTATAGATACAGCTTGTATGAGGAAAATGAGCTTTTACAGCTTGTAAATATATGATTTTATAGCTAATAAATATGTATGTATGTTATAAATTTTATTCCAAACATCATCAGCCTATCAGAGCTCACTGCTGAGCCTTTTCTCACATGAAGAAGGTTTGAGCATCAATCACCACGCTTAAAATTATAAGTCCATGTTTCCTCACAACTTTTTCCTTCACCATCTGTCAGTGAAGTCTAAATAATATTACAAAGTACATATGACTCGGAAAAAACACATTTGTACTTGCCAGGTTTCGAACCCGCGCCCTCATGCACGAGAGACATTTAAACTCTAGCCATCACGACCACTTTATTCCAATACTTAGTTATTTTGTAAATTTTCTCCTATTATATTTTAAGGATTCACGTATGTGAAAGTATTTCACTTGTATTCTTAGTATAATATTGTTAAAATTCCTTGTTTTATTGAAACAATAACAATACGAGATGGTTTCTACAGCGTGAGATGGAGGTGAAATTAGTTTTCACTGATGGCCGGCAAAAAACTTGATTAAACATGGGAACTATTGTCAAGACGAAAGTGTTACTACTGCACTTACATTTGACTGATGATGAACTGGGTCAGGAGTTAGGAGACAAGGCTGTGATGATTTTAATGTAACTAATCGATTTTGAGGTCGTGGTGGCCTAGTGGTTAAAAGGCTAACCTCTCTTGCATGAGGGCGCGGGTTCGATCCTGGCAAGGACCAATGTGTTTTTTGCGCAATATATGTACTTTCTAAGAGCATTTGTACACCACTGACAGATGGTGAACGAAAACATCGTGAGGAAACCTGGACTTATAGTTTCAAATTATAAGACGATATTACCAACCCGTCTTGAGAAAACGTGGTGATTAATGCTTACATCTTCTCCATATGAGAGGCCTTTGCTTAGCAGTGGGCTCTGATAGGCTGATGATGAGTCGATTTTAATGCAAGTTTCCCGTAGAAAATAATTTTACAATCCTACTGTAACTATTTTGTGAAAGATCTTTTTAAATCATGTCTATGTTTACGCACGTTTGATGTTTTCTAAGCATTTTATTTTACCACATACAAACAGGAATTAATCTTTTCCGATTTATTGCAAGAAACATTTTAATTTCCGAACATTAAATATAAATAACTCACCTATTCTAGCTTGACAGTGTCACTAGTGACAGTTGACATCAGAAATACTGTAATTATATGACATTTGCGAAATGTATAACGAAGCTTGACTAATTAAAGAAGAAGAAAATTTTCCATTTGACATTGAGTTAAAACTACTAGGAATTTTATGTTTTTCTATACTTATTATGATGATAAAAATATAACTTTCTTCATTGAAAAAATAAATTATTAAATAAACGTCTTTATTCAATTCTACAAACTTCTTCATGTCTCCACACAGTACTTAAAATTATAATTCGTCCAACAAATAAAAATGATGATATTGGCAAAATATTAAATGATTTCAGTGCGAATGAAGACATAGTATAAAAAACAACTAGGAAACATGACTGACATGACATGACATTGGTGTCAAAAATGTTTCGTATTTAATAATTCTATCATTCTTCACCTATACATATACATATAATGTTTATGTCTTGGGTCTACGTAGATTATGAAGCACACAAACATACAACCTTACGACTTACACTATCAAACTGTTTCACTGTCTTTAAATATTAAGTTATTAATAGAGTCATAAAATTGACATCAACTATTGTATACATATGACTAATAATCATAGTAATGTACAGTTAACATTATACGTCATAGTGTAATTTAATTAAAATATTTATAAACAAGAATACATTTAAATAAGTTTTTTTTTCGTTTTATGTGTAGCAAAAAGTGTTGTCTGATTAGAACTTCGCTTTGATATATATATATATATATATATCTATTGTATGATTCAGTGACATACGAACAAAACGACAAACAATAGCTCATCAGCTGTTTTCATAACACAATATTTTTCATATTAAATTAAAAATATTTACAATTATATAACTTCAGTTATATTAGTATTAATTTTATTATAATTAAATTAATATTTTTTGGATTATACTATTCGTATTTTATTATTTTAACTACATACTCCCGACGTTTCGGTTACTTTATAGCAACCGTGATCATTAAGACGAGATGTGAATTTAATTGTTCTGAATTGATTCTGAGACTTTAAGTTATCGAAAGTACTCCAATTGTTCAAAATAGAAACACTATGTTGGTGATCATTAAATATGTGATGATGAATAGATTCCACTCTGATGTCTTAATTTTATTTATATGATGAAGTGAGTGAATGAAGAATGAATGATGAATGACAGATTGAAATATTAGTGTGAATGAATGGTTTTGATAGAAGTAATAAAAAATTAATACATACATATATGAGGCAATTGAACATTTTTCTTTTTAATATTTTTATGATTTTTTTTAATATAAACCGTATAAATATTATGATTATGTTTAACGCGTCAAATAGAAAACTTTTAAAGGGGAAAAGACAGAAAACGTTAAAATTATTTTGATTATAAAACAATCGCACGCGGAAATGTACTCTATCGCGTGTCATTAAGGTGTAAGATCGTCTGTCAAACACGAAACTCTCATTTTTCATAGTTGCGTGACAAAATGTAGCGTGCGAAGACGCGAAGGGAAGGATTGAAATATCTTGAACACAGTAAGGTTTAATATCGTGTGACTGAGAGTCGATTAACTATTTAAATATCCTGTTTCAATTAACAGAATTTAAACTAACTCAATGAAGATTAGTTAACTGTACATCATGAAATAGTGGACTATATCGTGGTTGTTCCAATAGTCTACAACAGTTAATCACATAGTCATTAGTCTATAAGTCCAATAGTCCAATAGTCTTCAACAGTAGATATTAACTATCTTAACATATGTACGTTACCTTTATAACAAATATTGATTGAAAGTGATTTCCATTCGCGTCTCATAAAGAAACTTCCTCAACAAAACTTATCGATTGAGAAACTTTTGTTATGTATGTATATAAAATAACTTATATATTCAGTTATATAATATGTTATTAATATATAATTATATTTTTTTAAATATATTGTTGTCTTTGGTATATAAAGGTTTTCTTTTCACTCTATCACCGACACACAAAACTAAACTAAACTTTCGTATATTTCGTATTTAGTAAATATTAATGTTTTTTAAATAAAATCTAAGTTTCTTATTATTTTCTTAATATCTTATATCTGTTATATTTTTTATCGATCATAATTTATGTGAACGCTTCCGTAAACGTCAAAACAGATCTCTCCGTTAAAACTCACTTTCATGTTTAAATAATATAACTTAAATAACTATTAAGATTAAGAAATATAACTTGTAAAGCATTATATTATTACAAAAAACAAATTAACTTGTATTTTTTTGATACTATTCTAAAATTTTCTCAATCTAGGTTCGGTTAATTAATGTAATGTACACATAACATTAACTCACCTCTGTCAGAGAACGCGTCATTGTTGACTGGTGATGAGATGTCCTGGAGCGTCTGTTCCTCGGCTCCGATGTCGCTGGTGCCGAAGTTTTGTTCACGGAACACGACATTGTCATTGAAATTAGGTCCCGCGTGAGAATTAGTCAACACCGAGTTGATATTACCGTCAGGAGAGTAAGGGAAAACTACGCGAGGACTTCGAGCCTTCCAACCACTATTAGGAAAGTACCCTGTTCTTGGTGGTACCGAAATTACAGGCTCGAACGAAAAGCTCGGCGCGTAAGGTCGACTGAATCTGCCGTTGTAAAATTTAGGGTACACCGGCAGGTAGAACCTCTCTGTACCTTCCATCTTCAGAGGTGATTCCGTCACGTCATCGGTAACGTCATAATCAGTATTATCAAACTTGATTCTTGACTGTCTTTCCGTCAAGTCGATCTCTCCTTTCCCGAGCGGCTGGTTACTCTCCGCTTCATCCAAGAACTGCACCCTCCTGAACCGTCTATAACTCCTCGGCACGAACATCGGCACACTCCTCTGTTTCTGGTATATGCTCAGCGCGCGACTCGCCCCGCCACAGACGCCGGTGCTCACAGCCACCATCAGTACAACCCATAGCCTTTCGCTGAACATGTTGCTGTGTGTGAAGCCTCTCTCTCATCGTCTGTTTCTTATTTTCCGTCTCACGTCCTCATCGTACGAGGCCGGGTGCTCTGACGGCTGTTTGTCGCGGACTGGTCGGGAGCCGCGGCTGCCTCGACCCCCACTGGGCGCTGCAGCCTTACGTAAACTGATTTACGTCTTTTTTACGTAATCGCTGTGATAACGTTGCCGGGCAACCGTGTTTTGGGTGAGACATCATCCAGAAAATGTTCTATTTTATAGATTATCGTATATTTAAAATAGAAACTATGTTTTTGGTGAGATTTCAACGACTGTCTCTGTCTATCATGATCATTTACTTTTCATCTCTTTCTTGTACGTACTTTACATATGCGTCGTGTATTTATATCCATGTTGAACGTATAACAAGAATGTTAACGTACCGCGTGTCGCCGTTACTACTTTTATAGCTCGAACACTACCGCGGGAACTTTCTATAAGATCGGGTTACTACTAGCTATGGGGAGTCTGTGACTCGTGTAGTATATTACTTTTTAGTATCTTTGACAATATTTAAATCCAATAACAGTAATTTTAATGTGAAACTCACCATAACTATAAAACACCGTTATGTTTGGAGTTTTAATTATGCATAACCTGTTGATATCTTCATAAAACATGTTTTGAGTCCACTAGCGCCATCTATGTAAAGAAAAAATAACAAAGGCCTTTCACTTTAATAATCTTAGTGTAGTTCGAGAGTAACTCGCTAGGTGGCGCTGTTCTTAATTTCAAAGCAGCAAGTAAAAGATTTCAACGAGCGTACATTAGTTTAAAAACAATAAGATAATTTTGGGAAGAAATTATACCTAAATTTTTTGTATGAACTTTTGGAAAAATGATTCCCAGCCTTTGTATGGTATTTTAAAGAAAAATTCATATATACAAGTTATTTATGTAATGTATGTAAGTGTAGTGATCTGATCTGTTATGTCACTTGTAATTTAATACTTAATATAATTATTAAGAATAGATACTTACAATGTTGTTATTGTTATATATATTTTAAAGAATCCAATCACTTCAAGAAATAATTCTCATTTAATAGGAATTTTCCTTAAAACCAATCTGTATTAATAACTATATTATATAACATAATAAAATACAAACACTAAATGTCAGATAAACATCGAAGAGAAAATACATTTGACAACAAAATATAGCCAGGAATGTGTTCAATGTGTGTGTGTGTGTGTGTGTGTGTGTGTGTGTGTGTGTGGCGCCGCGTTACATAAACACGACCTACACTGGCGACATACACACACACACACACACACACACACACACACACACACATATATACAGGGTGACTGGTAAATTACTATCAATATTTAAGGAGAATACTCGGTACATGATTCTCATTCGAATAATATGTAAAAAAAATAGGTACTTTATTTTTGACCAAATTTCCGTATAAATAAATAATGTGTGGACACGTTCCAAGTGTGGATGCGTGCGGCGGCGTGCTGATACAACACCACGCCGCCGCACGCTTGTGTGTGTGTGTATACCTAATCTGTAGGATGTTCACACGATGCGTAATTAATTACATAACTTTTGGTTAACTTTACTTAGAAGTTTATTAATATTTATGTTATATTAATTTTTATTTTGTCATATATGATCGTCAAATATCACGTCCTCAAGTATTGATAGTAATTCACCAGTCACCCTGTATATGAATGTATTAATTTAAATTATGATGCCCTTAAAATATTTGTGGAATGTATAAGTTATATGATCTGTTTTTAATCCCTACTAATATTATAAATGCGAAAGTAACTCCGTCTGTCTGTCTGTCTGTCTGTCTGTCTGCTACGCTTTCACGCCTAAACCACTGAACTGATTTTAATGAAATTCGGTACAGAGATAGAGTTGACCTTGAGAAAGAACATAGGATAGTTTTTATCCCAGACTTTTGAAAGGTTCTCTTGGAAACGCGATATAACCGAACTCCACGCGGCGAAGCTGCGGGCGGAAAGCTAGTGTCACATAAATAAGGTTTTACGAGTGTGTGGCGCTGAGTGTCAGGTTACATGTGGGGGAATAAGGTTCATACATGAAGTAGACAGCTGTCAGTTGTCGAGGGAGAAGGATTCAAGAGAGAGAGAGAGAGAATGATAAAGAGAGAGAGAGAGAGAGAGAATGATTATAATATAAAGGATGGTTCTAAAACACATAAGGACTTGAAATGTATGTATATTATATTACGACAATGAAACATAAATAAATTTACTAACAAATTAAACATTTAACATATAAATAATAATTAGAATTTCGTAGTCAGTGGTGGCCTAGTTAAAAGGCCCGCCTCTCATGCATGAGGGCGCGGGTTCGATCCTGGCAAGTCACAATGTGATTTTTCCGAGTCATATGTACTTTCTAAGAGTATTTAGACATCACTGATTAATGCATTCCCAAAGAGGGTTGATGTCAGGCAGGCGGCCGGTCGTAAAAACAATTAGCCAAAACTATTCACAACATGTAAGGCAGACCCTGGATATAGCTGGGAAAAAGTCTGGAAGAAGAATCAGAATTTCGTATATATTACATCCTATGACCTTTTCTGACTCCTAATCTATATAACTTTTAAGTTTTATCATAATCCGTGCAGCAGTTTTAGCGTGACAGACCAACAAACATCCATCTGTATATACAAACTTTCTCATTCATTATGTTGGTAGAGAGTGGGATAGTTCATTTCTTTAGTTAGATTTGTGGATCAATGTCAAATTTAAATTATATACCTTTTTCATGAAAGTAAAGACATGTTTTTTCTTCAGAAACTATATATTTATTCGTATTAAGATTAAGATTAAATCTTTTCAAAATAATGTAATGGTAATTTTCATAATATTTCTTAGTTAGGGTAAAACTTTATTATATTTTAAGAAATTTTACTATACATGTAAAAGATTAAAATATTTAGTTGGTCTACAAAATCATTCATTTTAAATATTTTTAAAGTAATATCTGTTCTTCTTAAATATTATTTGGTGAAACATTATTACTCTTGAAAAAGATTTTATTGTTTCAGAGAAAGAGTTTAAAGTGCTTGAAATACGAGCCATAAAAGATACAATTGAAGTATTGTATAGACTGAATAAAAGCACTAAGTATTACATAATGTAAAAAAGGAAAACTATAGAAATATGTTTGTAAATAGTTAGTTCTCTCTGATCCTTAAATGTGTTAAGACACTTCCAAAACTATATTTAAATAATGAAATTCTTCCAATAATATCTTCAATTATTATCAAGAATACACCGACACATTTACACAATTATTTATTTAAAGATATTTAAATAAATATTAATAAAAATCTCCATTCTTATTAATATTATAAATGCGAAAGTAACTCTGTCTGTCTATCTCTTACACTTTCACGCCTAAACCACTGAACTGATTTTAATGAAATTTGGTACAGAGATAGAGTTGACCTTGAGAAAGAACATAGGATAGTTTTTATTCTAGACTTTTGAAAGGTTCTCTTGGAAACGCGATATAACCGAACTCCACGCGGGCGAAGCTGCGGCCGGAAAGCTAGTCAGATATAAATAACATAAATATTGACGCCGTCAGATGAATCAGCGGTAAAAGTATGGAATATTTGGTGCGACCTCATTCACTAACCGCTGATATGAAAGCATTCACAATACGATCATAACACACATTTAAATTTAAAATTTATTAAACTAATTATCATTATTTTACTTTAATAATAAATCTTTGTTAGGAGACGATTTAAATTAAAATAGTAAAATTAAAAGCAGCAACTTGTCTTTGTTTGGTTAAAATATATATTAATAATATTAGAAATCGATTAATTATTATTAAAATTTTCTTCAACCACATGTTTTGTCACAGTGGAACATTTTACTGGCGCTGTTACTATCATCACAAGTGAAATACAAACCGGGCCTCGACAGTGAGTCGCGGGTTGAGGCGAGAAAACTAACGAACAACAGTCACACACCAGACCTCGGTACAGACTGACGGGTCGACAACAACATTAATATATAACAACAACAACAACAGATTGGAAATACAACAGGGATTTAATAATTGTTGTAACAGTGTTAGTGATTTGTGATTATATTGTTGAGAACGTTCTTGAGTGAAAGTGGTTAGTTCTAAAAGTGAAAGGTGTTGCAGGTGAGCAGTCCTCGGAGCCTGTTCTGTAATAAGGTTAGTTTAGTAAAGTTAATCCAGATCCTAGCTCTTGAACAACAGAACAAAAGACAAAAGGCTTCTAGCCCACATAGGTCTTGACTTGAAAGTCGACAAAAAATATATAAACATCTCATCTCGTCTTAATCACGGTTGTAAAAAACCGAAATGTCAGGAGTATGTAGTTTAAAAATAATAAGACGTATTAATCAAAATAATACTACTTTCATTTAAATGATTACTCGCGAAAGTCTAAGATTTTCAATTAAAAACGTATGTAAAATAGTTAAAAGATGTTTAAACTTGTGTTAAATTTGTATATTATTTTCTTTCAACATAAGTTTATTTAAAGTAACGATTAAAATACATGAAAGTACCAAGTCACAATAATCGTCGCGTGATTGTTGTTTATTACTAGATGAGTCTTTCTACTCACACTCGCTTTGAAATCCTTTTCATTTTCTATACGTTACAATAATATTAATATAATATGTCATATTCTTTTAAACGTTTAAATTGTTTAAATATAAATGTCATACTTAAATGACAAATATATATACTATAATATTCAAGATTCTTAATTCTTAGTTTCAAATTACTTGGTTGTAATTAACATATAATATATTATGAGAAGGCTTTATTCGTTTTAAATAATGCTACATTTATAAATATGATTTTATACATGTATATGATATATAAATAAAAACTGTGTCTGTATGTTCAATATTTTATAATCATTATGTTTAATCTTGTTCATGTCAAACTAATAATAGAAATTCTCATGTCGAGGTATTTTTGAAATCATATAAAAGTAACTATAGTTCCGTACAAAATATATTATAAAACAGTATATTTATACAATTTCTATCTCACTTTATTTTATATAAATCATGTGGTTAATGGTGAATACAAAATATTTACGAATGAATTATAAAGGGTGGAAACCAGAGGCACCAGGAAAATTATGAAACATACTTATATGTATATTATAATAAGAACAACATATTAAAACTTATAACCTACACCTAAGACTACATGATTGACCCGATGTTATGATAGCAATACCATTCCATAGCTTGTGTGGTATCAGGAATCTTCTGGTTCACACGGCATGGTGTTCGTTCCGCGGAGTCAGCGGCGTCAAGAGTTATATATTTTATACATACAACGATGTCGCCCGGGGATGTTCATTTATTTTTTAATATGTAGCGCGTACTTATAAATTAATTAAACTTCAATGACAACACAGTATTTATCTTGATAGACTCGACAGGAGACGAAGTGATCATCATATAACTATGATAAAATTTATTAAAACAAACTCAACATTATATTCATATATTCAAAGCGTTAATATTCATTTCATTCTAATACACGTCGAATCATTATAACATCTTAATAGTAGACAAGTGACTATTATTATTGAATTTGAATATAAAGTTAATATAATTAATTAATTTAACATGTAATGCTGGTTGTGTACAATTGGAACCTTTCTTCCTGACTTTTAAACATATAAACAAACTATTAAACCGATTTTCATTACATTTTGTACCTTACTAAATCAATGTGCAGGTAATGTTGATGATTTTTGTCTTGGAGCCTCAAAGTCTCAGTCAATAGGATGATAACATGAAAATTTTATTATAAAGAAATATTATTAATTAAAACTCTAATTTCGATGAGGTTTTGAACATTTTGTTTCACGTCAGTCAAATATTATTATTTTAACAAACTCAAACGACCTATTTCATGTAAAGCAGGCTGCCTCTCATACACAAGTGAAGTGAAATTTCACATTTGTCATATCTTTGTGTTTCATTTCTTTTTAAATTCTTTTCATCTTATACTTTATTGTTGTCAGAGACACATAGTATATCATTTTGTAACAAACGCTGTTTTATTTTTAAACGAACAAAGAAGTTTTTCTGTTAGGTATCCTAAATATTGTTAGAAATAATTTAAGCAATACTTTAAATTTGAAAAGCTGGAGGCAAAATCATCATACTAAATGAAATTTTAATTCACTTTATTAGTACAAGGAAATAGTCGAAACTGACAAAACAGATGACGTTACTATGGTTACAAGAAATCAGGGCTGTGATTGGACAATTGAGTTTTGACAATGTATTAACAGTCATATTAGACATTAGACGGAGCTCCAGAGTAGGAATTAATATTAGTGGCTTGTTAAGACATTTAAACGGACATTAGTGCGTGGTGGGACGCTCGATACATCTAACAGAGCATCAAACACCTTAAAAAAATGTTACTTATTTAACTTTGATTGGTGAAACTGGGTCTAACACTTGTATCCTATTTATAACATTTAAAGGTAAGATATTTAGGTGAGGGTAAGTTATAATATCACACAAAGGGTGCTAGTTGACTATCATAAGAACTCCCAATTAATATCAGAATACATACAATATATATTTAATTATTATTTATTTGATTCCAATTAAATACTTTATTGTCTTTAGCTTGCTTTATTCATAATATAATATGAATTCAACTTTCTTTCTCAACCCTGCGTCGAGTTTATGAATGTAATTGTCGAGAAATTAGTTATTTGTGATGTCCTAAAAGTGCATTGACGCGTCGCCGCTCTCTCACGCCTTTAATAAAGTAGGCTTTACGACAACACATGGAAAGCCTTCGGATGATAATTTTAAAGAAATATAAGTTAGTCATATTTAAAAGAACATAATAGTTTTTTCTTTATGTGAAGGTACATCTTGATATTAACTGTTAAATAATGATGCTTTAAAATGTACGAGGAGAGGATACTACATACTATTAATAGAATAATAATAACTTAATGAGTTAAGTAATATTCACACAAGTTTCTATCGTCACTCTACAATCATATTTTTAACAGTCCGATTCACAGATTTTCTCAAATTTCGTGAAAGAAAGACGAGAATAGGTTCAACCTCGTTGTTAATAGTCACTCTTTATAACCATTAATACTGTAAATAACTCGTATTTAAACCAATGTTTCCAGGATCCGTTGAAGTCCGTCGTGAAATCAAGATTTGCGTCATGTCAGAATATTCCACAAGGATCTTAACATGTTCACGGTGAAGAGGCAAGCGGAGACATGGATACGGATACAGGACAGGATAAAAAACTGTTTGTTCAACAAAAAACTATTGAAGAATCCCAAGAATGTGCTTAAGAGGAGAGGGTTATGGTGGAGATCAAAATACCAGACGGTCAAAATCATTTTACCTCTCATGATATTGAACTTTGCTGGACACACCAGCTCGGAAAGTAAGTCTTATTCTTATTAAATATATCTTCATCAATTTTCGGATTATTACGTCTTATTATTTTAACTACATATACCCGACGTTTCGGTTACTTTGCACTCTCATTCACATCTCGTCTTAGTGATCACGGTTGCTGTAAATTAACCGAAACGTTAAGAGTATGAAGTTAAAACAATAAAAAACGCGTAGTAACCCGAATAATATTAGTTTGATTTCAATAATTCGAATTTACTATGCAAATTTTTCATCTAGTCTGCCCGTGATCAAGGTTGCAAAGTAACCGAAACGTCAGGAATATGTAGTTAAAACAATAAGACGTAGTAATCCGAATAATATTAGTTTTATATAAATGAATACTCCCGAGTCTTATATGTCATTCTCACACTCCTCTGTCACTATGTTCCAGGTCTCACAAGCAGGGTCCTATCCTCGTTCCTGGGTTACCCCGCCACGTGTACTGTTGGTTCAGAGGTACGAGCTTGTTCCCTGTCACTAACCTGTTGGCTCCGTGGAGGCATCAGGTTGAAGGGTTGTGGAGGAGGCTGGTTGTTCTCATGCTGTTATACGGCCAGGGACAGATATGACTATGATAACACGTAAGATATTAAAATGTATATAGAAGTATACTTCCTTCAAATCTATATACTTATATATCATCATCAACGTCTTAATTTTTTTAAGATTTATATCAAAACTAAAGAGATATATGAAAATTACTTGTAACAAAAAAAGTCTATTATTATTATGATTTTTGTATGTGGTATTTCAATTTGAAGGCACTTGCCGTTCTAATGCCTGTTAGAAGGTTTTAAATATTTTTGTAGCTTCATTTTTATTCTTTAAGCAGTGATTAAATTAGTATGTTAACATCATTTTATAATCAGTCCGGCCTCACTGTTCTTTTTGATGCTAACTTTTTCTGTCAGCCAGAGTAATGAATTTTAAATTAATAACATATTCTCTTAGGTAGCTTTCTTCCTGTGTGTTTTCTTAGCTTTATATTCTTTCTTACTTCCAGAATCCCGTCTTCAGACTGGAAATACAAAATACCGCCGAAGTTACGTCAAGTACCTCAGAGAAATGTGGTGCCAACGAACGTGTTCCGACGAAGAGTTGACGACGATATTAGTCAGGTATTGTTTTGGAAGTATTCTTTACTCTCACTACATGTGTTGTGGACTAAGAGGTTGCTATATTAAGAAAAAAAGGGACTATAGGCTTATATGAGATAGAAAAGAAAGATGAATTTTGCTATCGTTTATTTTGTTTTGCACGAACGTATATAAAATTATTATTGTTAAAAACGACAGATGAAATAACTTTAGTAGTGGTTCCATCCTGGATGAGACATAAAAAATCAACAGTAAGATATACTTGTTCTGTGTATATTGATCAGAAGTTCGATAAATGTTTGCATTAGCTCAGACTGTTAATATTAATGGTGTATGAACAATGTATGTTATAATTACCTTCATATATCATCATCATCAACCCACTGCTGAGCAGTACTTCAATGATCAATTTTACTCAAAGGTCCATACTCTTCGTATATTCTTTCTATACCTCTTGTATCCAGATGGAGTGTGGTCTGTCATCAAGTCGCATGCTCCAGAAGCGTATAATCGGCGGTCGTGAGGCGAGGGTCGCGGAGTTCCCTTGGCAGGCTCACGTCAGAATCTTAGAGTTCCAGTGTGGAGGAGTATTAAGTACGATACTTTTATAAAGAAATCAAAGAAATTAGAGATATTAATATTTAATATACTTTAAATAAAATATTTGCTTTTAAATGAGAAAATAGATTCCTCAGGTCATGGGATTTATGGTTTTCAGTTATCGTTACGAAATTCATATCATTATTTATTTATTTGTTTCTAACTACTAACTAATCTTTTGCATTGATTTCTATATAGATTTAATGTTTTCGTATGAAGCAGTAAAAAAAAGACTTAACCTACGTCCTTACGATATTTTTTATTAACCAGAGTTTCTACAGTTAACTTCTATACAAGTATTTTAATGGAGTAAACCTTTAATATGTTGTATTAATGATGTCAGTATCTCGTTGGTACGTGGCGACGGCTGCTCACTGCGTGTCCCGAGCTCGTCCTAGAGACGTGTCCGTGTGGCTCGGAGCTCTTGACACTACTTCGGGGGATAAAAGCGCGAGGAAAATTGGGTAACAACATGTTATAATATACTCTGCATCACACACTCAATTGATATATACATTAAAATCATTGGAACGAAATATTCGGAGATAATTATTGGTTTAAATTGCTTGTTTGTATTGTCTTAAGCTTGTCAATACTATATATATTCTTCATTAAGTCACATTCATGATTATTTAATAATTAAGTTAGTTTTCTATGTACAAGTTCATGCTAAAAATCCCCCAAAAATGCTTAATACGTAATAGTTTAATACGTAATAAAACAGTTGAAAAGAATTTATAGAAATTAATTCTATTTCCAGGGTCGTTCAGAAAATCCTCCACCCTCTGTTTCAATTCCGCATGACTCAACCTGACCGGTACGACATAGCGTTGCTGAAGCTCTCCCGACCTGTGACCTATACTAGTCACATCCTCCCGATCTGTCTGCCTGATGGAGACTTCGACCTCCGCGGCAAGTCAGGGGTCATCGCTGGCTGGGGCAAAACAGACACAAGCAACGGTCACACCGGGACTAACTTACTGCGGTCCGCTACTGTACCGATATTGAGTAAGACTTCTTAAATATACGTCATTTAAATATATTACAAATTTTTACTTTATCGATAGGAAGTTTCTTGCTTTATATCTTTTAAGACGTTTGTTACTTTGAAATGGTTTTCATTACTTTATAATTAATCAAAGTGGTGTATGGAGTCGAAAATCATTTCTATATCTCCTAGGTATGAGATTGTAAATAAGATATTCCTTAAGTCACTTTTTGTTTGGAAATCAGTGAATTTTTAAGTAATAAAAAGTTAATTATTTTTCATTTTGCTTCCCTTCCTTAATATTTTTATTCTGAGGACATTTTATAATATCCAGAAATAAAGGTCATGGTTCTTCCATATATTTCCCAAAGCAGTATTTACTTTATTCTGTTATTTTACTCTAGGCACAGAACAATGTATAAACTGGCACCAGAGTAAGCAGATCTCTGTTGAAATACATTCAGAGATGATCTGCGCCGGACACTCCGACGGACATCAAGACGCGTGTTTAGGTAAAATATCTCTAGTGATATTATAAATGGGAAAGTAACTCTGTCTGTCTGTCTGTTACGCTTTCACGTCTAAACCACTGAACTGAATTTAATGAAATTTGGTACAGACATAGAGTTGACCTTGAGAAAGAACATAGGATAGTTTTTATCCCAGACTTTTGAAAGGTTCTCTTGGAAACGCAATATAACCGAACTCCACGCGGGGGAACCTGCGGGCGGAAAGCTAGTAATAAATAAGTTGTTTATAACACGAAGATGAAAGTTTGAAATTAATAACGATGAGATAGTTTTGGTAACTGGAAATTTAGAACATTTTTATGGTTATTGACATGCGAATTTAACTTGAGTTTAAATATATGAAAACCTTAAAGTAATTTTATTCCAATATAGCTGTATTTTTTGGGTTGTTACCTATTAAAGTACTTTCATTGTTTATAATGTAGGTGATTCAGGAGGTCCTTTAATAGTGTTGGACAGAGGTCGTTACTACCTGGCCGGCATCACCTCGGCTGGGTTCGGCTGTGGCGTGGACCATCAGCCAGGGATTTATCACAACGTGAGGGTCACCGCTGGCTGGATAAGAGACGTCATCACCAGATACGGTGACCTCTAGGAACTATATAATAACATTACTCACGCAGTTCTATGTAGGATGGACTAAGAATTTCACCAATATAAACTGTACTTTTCGAATTCTTTGTTTTGTATAATTAATATTTTTTTGCATACCTAATCTGATAGTTGTCGAACTATTGGACTTGATGTATAACAAAGTTATTTTGTAAAATCGTTAGTTCTAAGAACAAAATAGATCGTTTGCTTTGTTTTTTAAATTGTACATTTCACAGTATTGTTGTAATTTGATGTTTGTTAATGATTATTTTATTGTTATTTAAAGCATTTGTTAATATTGTAATTAGACTAGTGTGTGTTGAATATTTTTGTAAGTTCGTGTTAAGTTGTAGTTATTTATTCGCCACCAGTGATTGGCTGATCTCTTTCGTTATTCATAAAATCGATGTCAGAATTAAAGTATTTTAAACATTATCCGATGTTTCATGTCACACCTGAGACCTAATATTATTTTTATATTTAACATGTTTTGTTCCTAAAGTATGGATATTTCAAATTTAATTTAAATCAAAGTAGTGAAAACAGAATATTAGCGAAAACGAATACAATTTTCGTATAACTTTTTCGTATATATTTCAGTCAGTATACCAGTTTCTTTCTTATCTGAAGTATTCCGTTTTTTTTATACTAGATCTAACCGCGGTAACGTTTACTTCAAAGTCATTTAATTTGAATTTATATTATAAATAATTTACTTATTAACTCAGCCTGATGAAAAAAGTTAGGTAAGCTTAGCTTTATGTGGATTAAAAACAATACAGAGACGAATCCCAACATCAAGTGTGTTATTACAAAAAAAAACTGAATGTTGATAAAATTGAATAATTTGAAGCTTTTTAATTTGATCGTTGGTTGTTTTAGTCACAGAGCTACTGAACATTAAATATTAATGATTCTCTTGTTATATTATTTTAAAGATTTTGTATATTTAAATAATATTATTTAAAAGCTTCCTAGATATCCGAGTCCTTTTAATCTCTCTTAACATTTAGTTTTATAATAATTATTGTGAAGTCTTTCTTTCAGAATTTTCTCTCTCCTATCAGGATCTTTAAACTTAAGTCTGGATCCATCAGTCTACTACAGTAATATCCCGCTTAACACGACCCCGTTGTGCGCGGTTTCACTATAACGCGATTTTCAAAAATTTATTCAGGTTGGGACATATTGCAGAGTGTAGACAATAATGATGACCGTGTCTTGACCGTGTGTCAAACGATTAAAAAGTGTTTGCCGTTATGAACTTATTTTACAAGAACGTAAACAAAACGCTACCCAAAAGACAATACATGTATTTTTTCGTATAAAATAGGAGTACCTATATATTGTATAGTGTTCTTAGAATTAAAGTGAAAGATTAAAATGATTTTTATATTTGTGTATTAAATTTTGACTGTGTTTAATCATAAACCTCGATATACGCGAATTTCAGTTAACGCGATTTTCTTCGGAACGTATCCTTCGCGTAAAGCGGGGTATTACTGTATTACTACGAGTAAATATTACTAGAAATGAAAATATACATAAAATTACATGGCTGTTAAGCTACATATAATAATATGTAGACATTCCTTGATCTTTCTGCAACATTACTGTCCGTGTTGAAGACGCGGAAAGAAACTATGTACAACACACCATACTAATAATTATGATATAATAAAGAATATTTAAAGAAAATTTACATTGCTAATTATTAAGTCAAAGAAGCCTAATTATAAAGTATTTTAATGAGGCCATCAAGTGACCAGATCATTATCACTAATGATTGATACATAAATAATATTAATGGATGATTTGTTAATGGTGTCGCTACAAATATTAAGGAATTTTATGTATTCGTGTGTCTCGAGGAATCACTTTCAACTTTAAAATGAAACTAGACGAGACGGATGATTAAAAATAAACCTTACTATAATAAAATAAAGTTTGAATTGCAATGTACGGTATATGATGATTGGTAACCGGTTGAAACAGACGGTGCAATAGATTTTAAACTATACATTAGTGGCAGAGAGTTGATTTTATTTTGTTTTATTTAATGTTGTAACGGTTGTGTGTGCTGTAAATGTCAAACAGTCCAGTATTCCACAATGACGCGGTGCGTAAACGTCGCTCTGATAGTTTAAATTTAAAAAAAATACATATATTTGATAATATTACAAAAAGTGTACAGTATGGAGGGTAAAAAGTGTTTATTGTTAGCAATCTTCGCGATTCTGGCGTCGGGTTCGAACGGACAGACCTTGGGAGGTTAGTGAAAGGAAACAAAAAGTTTATTATAAGGAATAATATTGGACAAGCCGTTGAGTCATTCGGTTATTAAAAAATACATAATCTGCCAAATTTGGTATACATTAAAATGTATCAAGTTTGCGCCCTCGCTTTAATATTTCAAGTTTTGGTGTTTTTTTTTATCTTCGAGGTCAAACGTTGATTGTGACTAAAATTTTAATTTATTTAAAGCTTCATTAAGTTGCCTCACACGAAAATATTTTAATAAACCCTTACTAGATTTCGTATATACGCATGTTTGATCCAAAAACAATCTTATTTTCCGAGTCTATATAATAACACTTATTATTAAATTTCATAAAAATCGTTTCAGCATTTCAGTTTGTTGTTTTGTAACTAACACTAACCTTCTATATATAATGATATATAATGATTAGTATTTTAAATTTACATATATAATAATCGTAGTAAATAAATAAATTTATATATTTGTCACGAACAGTCAGGAAGAACCTCATTAATGCGGTGTTGGAATTATAGTACGAGCTTAGAAACTCATTTATGTGTTAATATTTCTTATGTATAAAGAAACAGGAAAACCTTAAACGGAATGAGAAGCTTTGAATGCTTGAGAAACTTGAATTATACATATATATATACATATATTTCTTTGATTCGTTTTACTACCAATTTTTATTTAATGACCCAATAGCAAGTATCTATAGCCGATATTTAAAACAAGGAACAAATATCGTCTGTCTCTTATGTGGATCTAAATATTTAATCTTCGCCAGTGTTGAATCTATTTCGATGAAACTCTAGTATTAGATAATATGATAAGCCAACACTAGATGTTTTGGTAATTAGCTTATACTGTGGTTATGTCAAGTATAAGAACTGGAGACTTTTCGTGTTTTTACAAATCATATTCGTCTTAAATGAAAATATTTTTCGGATTTACTACGCGAAATTATTTTTGACTATAAACTATATACATACTCCTGACGTTTCGGTTACTTTACAGCAACCGTGATCACGAAGACGAGATGTCTCACGTCGTAGTAAAACCGAAAATATTAGTTTCATTTAAATGAATACTCGCGAAATACTTAGATCCCATTTTATTCTTAACCTAAAACGTTAATAAACCACGCGGTCCTCACTTACAATGGAAATTATTAAATATGACAAATGAACATGTTTTGAAATAACTTTTACAGCTAATTGATTACTTCCACGTCATTTTTTTGTGTTTTATGTTATCGATAATAATTAATTAAATTTACTCCAAGTTTGAACTTTTACACTACACACGTAGCGTTAACAGTTTTTCATTCATTAATCTTCTCACATTATTAACGTAACATTTAATTTGAAACGTGAAACTATTGGTTTATTGCATTACGATGGAAAATCGTCCTAAGACTTGATGAAGTGTAATGTATTGTAACAATATACATATCTTCTTCTACCTAGCAATTTCTCAGCTTTAGCCAGGGTCTGCCTTATATGTGGTAAATAGTTTTTGCTAATTGTTTTTAAACCGACTGCCTGTCTGACATCAGCCCTCTTTGGGAATGCATTAATCAATGATGTCTAAATACTCTTAGAAAGTACATATGACTCGGAAAAATCACATTGGTACTTGGCAGGATCGAACCCGCGCCCTCGTGCATGAGAGGCTAAATGTAATAATATAAATAAGACGTGATAGTATGTACAGACAGTCTTTAGTAACCTTCTATAAACCTCTCTCTGATTATTTAATAGTTGTTAATGTGTAATTATAATTATTATTCGTGTGACGCAGACACAGGTGGCTGATAAATAAACATAAATTACTGTTCGTCTTCCTAATTAAATAAAATATATTAAAATATTCTTGATAAGAATATTGTAGGCTTAATATACATAAATAAATTATCAGGATTTCTGATGTCTTTGGAGTTTTAAAGATGATTTTTCCTATATTGTTGACTCATGTTCGCCTTCATTTGAAATAAACAGAAAGCAAAGTACCTATACAGATGTGTCTGTACGATTTACACAATATATAACCAGTTGGATATAAATACAGGGTGACTGGTGAATTACTATCAATACTTGAGGACGTGATATTTGACGATCATATATGACAAAATAAAAATTAATATAACATAAATATTAATAAACTTCTAAGTTAAGTTAACCAAAAGTTATGTAATTAATTACGCATCTTGTGAACACCCTACAGATTAGGTATACACACACACACACACCCTCGCGCGCGGCGGCGTGGTGTTGTATCAGCACGCCGCGGCACGCGTCCACACTTGGAACACTTGGAACGTGGCCACACTTTATTTATTTATTCGGAAATTTTGTCAAAAATTAAGTACCTATTTTTTTCACATAATTCGAATGAGAATCATGTACCGAGTATTCTCCTTAAATATTGATAGTAATTCACCAGTCACCCTGTATATGAAAGTGTATTTTCTATATATTTAATAAACATTTAATAAAATTTAAAATACATAGCATTCAAGGTTATCGTTATATTTAAGAAAAGATAAAGATTTGATTCAAAACATTAAATATTATTTTATATTTTTAACGACTATCTTTCGATTACTTTAACACCGATGAGATCTAATTTTGAGACTTCCGCGAGTATTCATTTAAATAAAACGAATGTTTATCGGATATATAAAAATATTAGTTTCATTTTACTTTGTCACCGATAATAAAAATAAAATATAATCAATATATTATTAAATTAATATGAACAAAACAAAAACCGGCTTCAAAAATATCTGATGACAAAAATGAGGTAAAAAATTATATATTTGTTAAAAAACACTTAATGATGACAACAAAACTATTAATCTATACAATATTTATTAATAGTTGTTTATCAAATGTGTCTCGGCAAGTTCGTTGTAAATAATGAGTATAAATGTTAGTATTGTATAGTCTCTTGAGAAAACTTTTGACTTAGCGAAAAAGAAATTTAATCTTTATGGTTGTGTAGAGAAAAAAATAAATAACATGATAATGAAATAAACGCTTCTATTCCATTCTACAATCTCCTTCGTGTCTCCACACAGTATTCAAGATTATAATTCGTCCAACAAATAAAAACATTGACACATGATTACAGTGAGAATGAAGATATAATATAAAAAAAGTTGTATAGATTTTTGCTCTTGTTAAATTTCTCAAAAAATATTCAACAGTTTGTTGCAAAATTAATATCCTATCTGCGAAAATATACAAAAAAATAATCTTTAAAATTCGTTCATATTTGGCTAAATTTGTCAGTTTTGTAAAATTAAAAAAACATTGAAATGTAAAGCCTGCTTTCTTTGTACTCGGTTAATGTATAAACGAATTTATAACCAAAAAAAATTCTATTGTAAAAGTTAAAAACTGTCCCAACAATTAGGCCGCTGTGACAACGCTGTGAAACAATTGAACGCACTCACATAGAAAAGCTAGCAGCGTGAAATTACAACTTGGATGTGATATCAAATATTAATATAACTGTCTTTGAGTTTTTTTTTTTATGTTATAGGTGGCAAACGAACAGACGGCCCACTTGATGGAAGGTGGTTACCGTCGCCCATGGACATCCGCAACAGATATGTTGCGGATGCGTTGCCAACCTTTTCTTTTTAGGGATAGGGAAGGGTGGGAATAAGGAAATACAAGGAAAGGTTGGGAAAAGGGAAAGGGCAACCGGCTCTCTCACTCATCGGACGAAACGCAGTCATTACTGACTACTTCACGCCGATCTTCTGTGAGAGGGTGGTACTTCCCCGGTCGAGCCAGCCCATGTTCGAGCTGTAGTAACTTAACCACAGCTAGGCTCTACCACCTAAAAATTAGTTACTGACTTATTGAAAAACAAACGTATTATCAAGAAAAACTGGCACAAAATACTTGAAGCTACCATATGTACCAACTATATCCTTACGATTAGTTTCTGACTGTTGGTCCACCTTCCTCAAAAACTATTTGATGGAATCTAGTAGGAATCTAGTAACATCTGAAATATAGTTTATCAATTATATTGAAAAAAGATTAAGTAGTTGCTCTGTGTCTCTCTAAATAACGCAGAAGTTGACACATTAGAAATCATTCAAAGAAAACATGCGACGTTATTTAAGATCACTGAAAAATTTTAGACATTATCTTAACTCTGCTTTCATATATACGTACATACAAATATATTAGTACTATTATATATATAATAGTACTAATGAACTTTATTTCATCTAATTGTAAGAATCGATAATTTATTGCGTAAATCGATTTCATAGATTCTCAATCATAATATATTTTGTAACGTCAAATATCAGTGTGACCAAGTGTCATTTAGTTATTTGAGTATGACAAGTGTCCCTTTAATATTAGACGAGTGGGTAGTTAGCCACGACATGTGAAACTGAACGGTCGATATCAAAGATTTAATATTAAATCCAATCATATCGAAGTAATCCATCGCCTATTATTTGAAAACCGACTTGATCCTTCATAATGTTGTGCTAAAATCCTAAGTCATAATGTTTTCTTCCAGGTCCCATGCATGGTAAGGTAGTGGTCTGCTACGTCGCGACCTGGGCCGTGTACAGACCTGGCGCTGGAAAATTTGATTTATCTGACATCGATCCAACTTTGTGCACACATCTCATATACTCCTTCGCTGGCTTGGATGAGAGTACTGGAGGAATAAAGAGTCTTGGTGAGTGGAATTAATATAAATACTTTAAAAGATTTCTTTTATGTAAAGTTAGATTTACATACCATCATCATCAGCCTATCAGAGCCCACTGCTAAGCAAAGGTCTCTTTTCACATGGAGAAGGTTTGAACATTAATCACCACGCTTGCTCAAGAAGAGTTGGCGGTTTCAAACTTATAATTTGATATTTTAACTCCAGGTTTCCTCACAATGTTTTAGTTTATCGTCTGTCAGTGATGTCTAAATACTCTTAGAAAGTACATATGACTCTGAAAAAGCACATTGGTACTTGCCAGGATCGAATCCGCGCTCTCGTGCATGAGAGGCGGGCCTCTTAACCACTAGGCCACCACGACTATATATAGATAATAGAAAGATAATAAAATTCACAAATTTGATATTACAGAAGTCTTTACCATATATGCGTTACAATATATGGCCAAACAAGACGTCAATATTTATCCATAAAATGTTTTGTAATCTGTAGATGCCTGGCAAGATTTGGAGAAGGATTATGGAAAAGGTGGATACAAAAGGCTCGTGTCTCTTAAAGCCAAGTATCCTCACTTGAAGGTCACTGTGGCTATCGGCGGATGGAACGAAGGCTCCAGAAAATATTCTGTGATGGCTTCCAAGAACGAAACTAGGGCGAAGTTTGTGCAAAGTGTGGTTCAGTTTTTGGAGTAAGTATACGCACTCTGAAATAAATTTTATTTAGTTGACCTTTAAAGGCTTTTAATTAGAAATCATGATTATTAATTTTACTTATTGTTTAATTCAAATTAATTACTCAAGAACTAATCAGTCATGATTTATAATCACTGAAACTTAGATAGAATAAGAAAACGATTAATTAATTATTTATTTCGGTGTCTTTATTAAAATCATTAAACACTTTTCATTACAATGAAAAAGTATTCATATAAATTACACCTACTAAAACTATTAATTGATACGTCAAAAACTGCAATTGTATAAGGGAATTCTGAACAGAAATATCTAATAATTTCAGTACCTACAACTTCGACGGCCTGGATTTGGATTGGGAATATCCGACTAAGAGAGAAGGAGCTCCTCACGACAAAGCTAATTATGTAGCCATGGTGAAGGTGAGCGATCAAGGATTAGTACTGGAGAGGATGTTCGAAATCTTTAATAACTCTTTGTTTTAAACTAGCTTTCTGCCCGCAGCTTCGCCCGCGTGGAGTTCGGTTATATCGCGTTTCCAAGAGAACTTTTCAAAAGTCTGGGATACAAACTATCCTATGTTCTCTCCCAAGGTCAACTCTATCTCTGTAAAAAATTTCATTAAAATCAGTTCAGTGGTTTAGGCGTGAAAGCGTAACAGACAAACAGACAGACAGAGTTACTTTCGCATTTATAATATTAGTAGGGATGGTAATGTTTGACAAAGTGAAATCCATAAAGGGTTTAAAATAAAGCTTCGCTAATCAGCTAATTAACATAGCAATGATATTCTATCCAGATAGATTTAGCTTTGTAAGTTTCTCAAATAAATTATATTCTACTTTAATACTCCTATAAATATTATATATGTATAATAAAGTAATCTTTGTGATAAGTAAACCACGAAAAGTTTGCAAATTCTCAAATAACATCTCTTGGAAATTCTCTATTTCTATCTTATCATCAAAATTGTTCATTAAATTCATCCTCGTATTTCAAATAGTTCGATGTTAAACAGTGCCTAAGTATGTTAACGTTTTCTTGAAGCAATCTAAGCCAGGCATTAAAGACAGTATTACCTGATATTGTAAGATTTATTTATTATCTCAGGAACTGAAGGATGCCTTCGAGAGTAGAGGATACATTCTAACAGCGGCCCTCGGTGCCGGCAAAGACACCATGGACTCAGCGTACGACCTCGCCAAACTCAGTCGGTACCTGGACTTCATCCACATGATGTGTTATGACTACCACGGAACATGGGACGGAACCGTTGGAGCGAACGCGCCCTTGAGGGGAACCACTGATGATGACGTCTTGAGTGTGGTTAGTACACGAGGATAAGACATATTTAAGGCAGACCGTGGTTAAAGCTGGCAATTGCCAGGAAGAAGAATAAGACTTATTTTAATTTGAACAAATAGATTGCAATCTATATCAAAGGCGTAAAATGAATTGAATATTGAATTAGTATTTAAAGTAGCAAACTATGCGAGTAAGATCTCCACAATAGACGAGGTTTTCATCTTAAAACACAAAATATTACTATGTATATGATATATATTTTTATTTATAATATTTCTTCAATTTACTCATGAAGACACTGGGATTAATAGTATCTATGTGTGATATATATTTATTTATTCAGATGTAAATTTTCAGTTGTATATAATTTTATAAATAACTAGTACTTGCCCGCGACTTCGTCTACGTTAGTTTCAAAATTAGAAATGTATAGTTGACCGGATGCAAACTATTATCCTTAAAGATAGTAGATAAGAAGATTTTAGATTTGATCAAGTTGTATTTTTTTTTCAATCGGATGAAAAGCAACTTAGGTCCTTTTTCTTACTCTAAGTTATCTCTTCACCAATTTTTAGCCAAATATGTACAACCGTTCTTGATTTATAAATAGTGTAACTAACGAGACTTTCTTTTATATATATAAAGATAACATTTGTCACCAGGAATATACAATCAAATACATGTTATCACACGGAGTCAGTCCTTACAAGTTGGTCCTCGGTCTACCGATGTACGGACGTAACTTTTACCTGAAGGACGCAGCAGAGACAAACATAAAATTTGGTGTAACTCCAGCCAAGAATAAAGGATTCGCTGGACCCTTTACAAGAGAAGATGGGTTCATAGGATATAATGAGGTTATTGTTACTGAAACATTGTAATAAGATTCACTTAGGGAACTCGTTCCTATAAATATAAAAAGAGTGTAATCTTTTGCAACAACCAAAAAAATATAAGATATTTTATTCTATAATTACTTGTAATAGAACTAACTACCAGTACCTAATACTCATCCTGTCTGTACCTTAACTGTTATTATTTTTATGAAGTATATCTCTCGGAAACCCCATCGAGTAAAGATATTTGTTTAATGAGATCTAAGACTTTCACGAGTATTCATTTAAATTAAACTAGTAATGTTCAGATTAATAAACGTATTTTATTTAAAAAACTACATATTCCCGAAGTTTCGGTTACTTTTAAGCAAGCGTGATCACGTCTGCCTTGATCCGAATAATATTAGTTTAATATTTGTTATCACATCATCAGATCTGTATGGAGATTACTAACAAGTCGTCCAAGTGGAGTCATTATTGGGACGAGCGGAGTTCAACGGCCTACCTCCGAGACAATGACCGCGTCATTACTTACGACAACCCTAGGTCCATCGCTATTAAAGTGAAGTGAGTTACTTAGTATGCAGTTTCATAAACAACTTAGGCTACATTAGACGAAACTTCTCAGCATTCCATGGATTCACCGTGCGGGTGCCGGGTCCATCGCGTTGCAGGGGGAGGAGCTTCAACAGTGCCTGGGACTTGCGACCCAAGTGTAGGTTTAAGGGGCCCCTTAACTAACGCGCGTTATACGCTCACCTCCACTGTCCAAGCTCCTCTCCCTACCTAACCAAATTTGAAAAGAACCTACTAGGGCTGCCTTCGATGTACGTTCCAAGAATGCATTAATGTCAGTTCTGGACAAGCCCAAGTCCTTTAGTAGGTTATAGAGAGATTTCGCTGTTATACCTCTCGCTCCCACCTCTACCGCGTACAAATCTACTACGAACCTATTTCGAGTGAGTTCGTTTGTGAGCTCGTAATATTTGTTGACCTTGATGGTATGGTCTTTGGGGATGTTGGTTTCCCAAGGGACCGTAAGCTCTATCATCACTACGCGCTTTAAAATTCGCGAAAACAAAAATATATCCGGTCTGGAGGCCGACGCACAAATATCCTCGGGGATTTTATATTGTTTTTCATACGTGTCCATCATTATAGTCCAATCCGACGCCGCTTTAAGGATGGAGTAAGGCTTGACGTTTGATTTTGTAGCCCTAGTGCCTTCTCTCACAAAACCTACTGATCGTTCGTTTGTGGTTATTCCCTTTTGCGCTCTGGCTACCGAAAGACTAACCGCTTCACGTATGACTTCTAGAACCCTATCGTGACGACGCGAGTATTGACCGCTGTCAAGGAGTACCTTACATCCCACCAGCAGATGCTTAGCAGTTCCAATTGCCTTTCCACAGATATAGCAAGTTTTTTCGGTACTTTTACCCCATCTTACTAAATTACTCTGATCTGGGAGAGTCATCTGGAACGCATTGAGATAGAATTTTAGCAATGCTGGCGACCAATCATAAATTAAAGTGCGCCATTTTAATGCTAATGGGATGCAAAAATCTCCTATGTCTAACCACTCGTTCTGCATTTCTAAATTCATTGCATGGATCTTATATTTATCATTCTCGTCTTGCCGAATAAAAGACTTCAATATATCCGCATCTTGGACTTTCCTATTTGATCCTAACCCCGCTCTGTTACTTTGCGCTCCTATCATAAATTGCTTATGGAATTGAAGTCGTGACTCTAGCTCGGGGGCATCTTCATCTTTTGGGAGCGATGTCACTATGTCATCATGGGATTTCCCCAGGATATATCTCTTGGAAACTCTTAGGTGTTTATAGAGCTCCGATGGCCTTTTTAGACTCATCCCAAAACTATTGCTTCCCCTAAATAACGCCGATGAATCAGCCGTTAGAGCGAGCCCGAGCCACAACTTCAACATCTTTATGACGCCTGCATCTAACTTTGACAAAAGGGTTTTATTAAAATCATAGACGAGGAAAGGCCAATTCAAACGTGAAGTTAAGTAATTCTCGTAGATCCACGCTTTTTTGACGTTACTTATCAGTTGGCTATCTACATTGTTAAGATCGTTCAAAAAGCTATCTACTATTCCTTCTAAAGATGGAGTACGGCCTATATTATCTATCTTACGACCGAGAAATTTAAATGGTGCATTTTCCGTAACCGTAGAAATGCATTGACCGCCTAACGATAGTCCCGGATCGTATGAGGTGTATCTTGTATTCCGCCTACCAAGACACAGACAGTGACATTTACTGGGTTTTGTCCTCAATCCATCCGTCCACTCACAGAATTTATCCACTTCATCCAATAGTACCTGACAGTGTTTGGGGTTACGTGTCAGTATTGCGAGATCGTCAGCGAAGGCTAAAATGGATTCCGTGTATTTATTATTAAACTTAAACCGATAACCCCATTTTTTCTCGTTACAGATTAATTTGTCTACTAAGATGTTAATTACGATATTAAACGCAATTGGAGATAGACAACAACCTTGAAACAGTCCTACATTATAACTCAAACTTTTTGAAGGGCCTTCTTTAGTTATTATAGAAAACCTTAATTTTGAGTAATACGACGCGATCATATCTCTAACTAGGGGTGGAAAGTTGTACCATCTAAGCGCGAATAGCATCAATTCGTGTTGTATCGACCCGAACGCGTTCTCCAAGTCTATCCAACAAACAGTGATTTGCCGCTCGCTTTTTCTAGCATCTTTTAAACTCTCCGACAGCAAGGTGTTGTGTTCTAAGCATCCAGAAATCCCGGGTAAAAACCCTTTCTGGTGATTTGGCCTAAAATAGTTGTTGCTGAGCATGAATCGCGTCATTCTCGTTTGTAGAACCGAGAAAAAGATTTTCGATATAGTATTTGTTAAAGCTATCGGTCTAGTATCTTTCGGATCGGTAACTCGATCTTTTTTGGGAATGAGGACAAAAATTGCTTTCCCGAAGCACTCCGGGATTTGCTTCCTTGACCAGATTTTACCGTATATATTTAGGAGGTGTTTACGAACCGATGCACACTTTTTTAAAAACTATATATGGGATACCATCGGGTCCCGGTGCAGATTTAGACGACTTCCTCTTGATCTGACTACTTAGTTCCTCTAGCGTTGGTGGAATGCCGTGGAATTCGATTCGAGGAAATTCAGGTTTTTGATCGTTTGGATCCCTATACCGTCTTAAACTTTTAGGCACTTCGTATGTGCTCTTAAAATGGTCGTAAATTTGATCGTTGGTCAAGAGAAGCTGTCCGCGTTCTTTCTTAAAAATGGTTTTCGAATACTCAAAAGGGTTTTTTATCGAAATCTACTTCTTGTTTTGCCCGGTCAAAATTATCGCGATATTCTGCAGTTTGCGCCGATATTCCTTGGATTAATTTAAGGATTGACCTTAACGCCCTAGCTAGTTGATGACTAAGGTGATTGTCGCCTAGAGCTTTGGCTATACGTAGATTTTTTATTAATTCCGTTTTTTTCTTCCGCATTTTTAATTTGAACGAATTGTCTTTATTTTTGCGAGCATAACGATTACGTGGTGGATATTGCTCGCTAAAGTAGTCATAAACGGTATTTTGGAAAGTTTCTACCTGCGAGTTCAATTCCTGCTTCGAGCCCGGATGCTCTAACAGGACCGCTAATTTGTCGTCATGAACTTTCCAAGTCGATTGTTTTAGATTAGGAATGCTAAGACGTGTCCTGATGTTAATGGACTCCTGGTGGTTTCCAGTTAATGGTTCACCATGGGATACATGAGGGTCAACTCTATCCGAAGTGAATGTTGTAGATCTTACCGACGATTGTCGTGCTTCAACCCCATTATGTGTTTTTAGATGTTTAATGTACCAGGCTCGTCTCTTGTAGTTTTTCCCGCACGTAGAGCATTTCAAGTCCGTATTCGCGCCGTTTTCGCCGTTAAAATCGACCGGTGGACAGTTCTTCCGCCCCCCCTCTCGGACTGTCCCAGGGGTATTTTTCTTCTTCGGACTTTTAGCTTTATGTATACCGGGTTGGGCTTGCTAGGCCGTCGCCCTCGGCTGTCTTTCCAGCAGTCATCCGTCTTTCCGGCAGTCATCCGTCTTTCCGGCAGTCAGCTGTCTTTCCAGCGTCAGCCCGACTCTCCGGGCAGTCGTTTTAAATAAGACGAAACTTCTCAGCATTCCATGGATTCACCGTGCGGGTGCCGGGTCCATCGCGTTGCAGGGGGAGGAGCTTCAACAGTGCCTGGGACTTGCGACCCAAGTGTAGGTTTAAGGGGCCCCTTAACTAACGCGCGTTATACGCTCACCTCCACTGTCCAAGCTCCTCTCCCTACCTAACCAAATTTGAAAAGAACCTACTAGGGCTGCCTTCGATGTACGTTCCAAGAATGCATTAATGTCAGTTCTGGACAAGCCCAAGTCCTTTAGTAGGTTATAGAGAGATTTCGCTGTTATACCTCTCGCTCCCACCTCTACCGCGTACAAATCTACTACGAACCTATTTCGAGTGAGTTCGTTTGTGAGCTCGTAATATTTGTTGACCTTGATGGTATGGTCTTTGGGGATGTTGGTTTCCCAAGGGACCGTAAGCTCTATCATCACTACGCGCTTTAAAATTCGCGAAAACAAAAATATATCCGGTCTGGAGGCCGACGCACAAATATCCTCGGGGATTTTATATTGTTTTTCATACGTGTCCATCATTATAGTCCAATCCGACGCCGCTTTAAGGATGGAGTAAGGCTTGACGTTTGATTTTGTAGCCCTAGTGCCTTCTCTCACAAAACCTACTGATCGTTCGTTTGTGGTTATTCCCTTTTGCGCTCTGGCTACCGAAAGACTAACCGCTTCACGTATGACTTCTAGAACCCTATCGTGACGACGCGAGTATTGACCGCTGTCAAGGAGTACCTTACATCCCACCAGCAGATGCTTAGCAGTTCCAATTGCCTTTCCACAGATATAGCAAGTTTTTTCGGTACTTTTACCCCATCTTACTAAATTACTCTGATCTGGGAGAGTCATCTGGAACGCATTGAGATAGAATTTTAGCAATGCTGGCGACCAATCATAAATTAAAGTGCGCCATTTTAATGCTAATGGGATGCAAAAATCTCCTATGTCTAACCACTCGTTCTGCATTTCTAAATTCATTGCATGGATCTTATATTTATCATTCTCGTCGTCTTGCCGAATAAAAGACTTCAATATATCCGCATCTTGGACTTTCCTATTTGATCCTAACCCCGCTCTGTTACTTTGCGCTCCTATCATAAATTGCTTATGGAATTGAAGTCGTGACTCTAGCTCGGGGGCATCTTCATCTTTTGGGAGCGATGTCACTATGTCATCATGGGATTTCCCCAGGATATATCTCTTGGAAACTCTTAGGTGTTTATAGAGCTCCGATGGCCTTTTTAGACTCATCCCAAAACTATTGCTTCCCCTAAATAACGCCGATGAATCAGCCGTTAGAGCGAGCCCGAGCCACAACTTCAACATCTTTATGACGCCTGCATCTAACTTTGACAAAAGGGTTTTATTAAAATCATAGACGAGGAAAGGCCAATTCAAACGTGAAGTTAAGTAATTCTCGTAGATCCACGCTTTTTTGACGTTACTTATCAGTTGGCTATCTACATTGTTAAGATCGTTCAAAAAGCTATCTACTATTCCTTCTAAAGATGGAGTACGGCCTATATTATCTATCTTACGACCGAGAAATTTAAATGGTGCATTTTCCGTAACCGTAGAAATGCATTGACCGCCTAACGATAGTCCCGGATCGTATGAGGTGTATCTTGTATTCCGCCTACCAAGACACAGACAGTGACATTTACTGGGTTTTGTCCTCAATCCATCCGTCCACTCACAGAATTTATCCACTTCATCCAATAGTACCTGACAGTGTTTGGGGTTACGTGTCAGTATTGCGAGATCGTCAGCGAAGGCTAAAATGGATTCCGTGTATTTATTATTAAACTTAAACCGATAACCCCATTTTTTCTCGTTACAGATTAATTTGTCTACTAAGATGTTAATTACGATATTAAACGCAATTGGAGATAGACAACAACCTTGAAACAGTCCTACATTATAACTCAAACTTTTTGAAGGGCCTTCTTTAGTTATTATAGAAAACCTTAATTTTGAGTAATACGACGCGATCATATCTCTAACTAGGGGTGGAAAGTTGTACCATCTAAGCGCGAATAGCATCAATTCGTGTTGTATCGACCCGAACGCGTTCTCCAAGTCTATCCAACAAACAGTGATTTGCCGCTCGCTTTTTCTAGCATCTTTTAAACTCTCCGACAGCAAGGTGTTGTGTTCTAAGCATCCAGAAATCCCGGGTAAAAACCCTTTCTGGTGATTTGGCCTAAAATAGTTGTTGCTGAGCATGAATCGCGTCATTCTCGTTTGTAGAACCGAGAAAAAGATTTTCGATATAGTATTTGTTAAAGCTATCGGTCTAGTATCTTTCGGATCGGTAACTCGATCTTTTTTGGGAATGAGGACAAAAATTGCTTTCCCGAAGCACTCCGGGATTTGCTTCCTTGACCAGATTTTACCGTATATATTTAGGAGGTGTTTACGAACCGATGCACACTTTTTAAAAACTATATATGGGATACCATCGGGTCCCGGTGCAGATTTAGACGACTTCCTCTTGATCTGACTACTTAGTTCCTCTAGCGTTGGTGGAATGCCGTGGAATTCGATTCGAGGAAATTCAGGTTTTTGATCGTTTGGATCCCTATACCGTCTTAAACTTTTAGGCACTTCGTATGTGCTCTTAAAATGGTCGTAAATTTGATCGTTGGTCAAGAGAAGCTGTCCGCGTTCTTTCTTAAAAATGGTTTTCGAATACTCAAAAGGGTTTTTATCGAAATCTACTTCTTGTTTTGCCCGGTCAAAATTATCGCGATATTCTGCAGTTTGCGCCGATATTCCTTGGATTAATTTAAGGATTGACCTTAACGCCCTAGCTAGTTGATGACTAAGGTGATTGTCGCCTAGAGCTTTGGCTATACGTAGATTTTTTATTAATTCCCGTTTTTTCTTCCGCATTTTTAATTTGAACGAATTGTCTTTATTTTTGCGAGCATAACGATTACGTGGTGGATATTGCTCGCTAAAGTAGTCATAAACGGTATTTTGGAAAGTTTCTACCTGCGAGTTCAATTCCTGCTTCGAGCCCGGATGCTCTAACAGGACCGCTAATTTGTCGTCATGAACTTTCCAAGTCGATTGTTTTAGATTAGGAATGCTAAGACGTGTCCTGATGTTAATGGACTCCTGGTGGTTTCCAGTTAATGGTTCACCATGGGATACATGAGGGTCAACTCTATCCGAAGTGAATGTTGTAGATCTTACCGACGATTGTCGTGCTTCAACCCCATTATGTGTTTTTAGATGTTTAATGTACCAGGCTCGTCTCTTGTAGTTTTTCCCGCACGTAGAGCATTTCAAGTCCGTATTCGCGCCGTTTTCGCCGTTAAAATCGACCGGTGGACAGTTCTTCCGCCCCCCCTCTCGGACTGTCCCAGGGGTATTTTTCTTATATTAATTAACGGCCAATGTAAAACGAACAAAAGCATATGTAAAGAAATAAAAACGTGTTAAATACTCCTATTTTAGTCTGATAACATTGCGTTTAAGACGAGATACTGAATGCCTACATATAAGATTTTCTTTTTGGGAATCTAATTTTCAGTGATATTATGTTTAACCTATAACTAACAGAAGAAAATCACTTTCATAGTCTTTTTATATGTAATACCAATAGAACTTAAGTATCTACAATTATGTTTTTAACATAAAACGTTCTTGAGGCAATCACTATTAGAAATCATAGAAAAGAAACATATCTTGTATACTGCAAAAAAATAAAACATTGAATTATATCAAATGCCTGATATACGGACTCCAATCAGTGGATAAACTTTTGTTTGTACAAGCAAATAAAACATAATATTCCCGAGGTTAGAGCTTCAAAATATTTCATATGAATATCATAGCCCTAGTAGGTTCTTTTCAAATTTGGTTAGGTACAGAGAGGAGCTTGGACAGTGAAGGTGAGCGTATGACGTGCGTTAGATAGGGGCCCCTTAAACCTACACCTGGGTCGCAAGTCCCAGGCAATGTTGAAGCTCCTCTCACTACAACGATGGACCCGACACACGCACCGTGAATACATGGAATGATGAGAGGTTTCGTCTCTCTCCGTATAGTCCACACACAATGCTTTGCATTACAATGAATTCTATAATGCTTTATATTAAGACATAATATTTGTTGTTAGAATGGCTATTGACTACGGTCTGGGAGGGTTGATGGTGTGGAGTATAGACACGGATGACTTCAAAGGTTCCTGTGATAAAGAAGCTGATACCTACCTGGATTACTTGGAGAGATACGAAGCGATTAAAGATGACCCAGTACTGATCAAGGCGTTGAAGAATCTTAAGTTACCAGACGGTAGGTTTGAGTCCACCTATTTATAATAAGTCTTAAGGAGACTGAAATATATAATTATTTATTATTCTAACATGAAGATAGTGGGATAGACTTTGATGGTGTAAAGATCTAAAGAAAAGCAAAAGGACTGTGATTAATAAGCATTGAATAATCTTCTAAACGTTATCAGTGCTATCTGTCACAGTGTACAGGCTTTTACCTGGAGAACATTTTCTTTTTATGTTTTTATTTATTATCGAAATCACACTAGCCATTTTATTTTAATTTCTGGTTTTGTCTAATTCATTAGGAAAATGGCATACTATTTTGATATTTAAATTAAACTAATATTTTCTTTTTTTATTATATAAGAAATTTCATTATCAACTCGTCAGCCCGTGATCACGGTTGCTGCAAAGTGATCGAAACGTATAAGTTTAAAATATAGTGAAAAAAAATAATTAAAAATACATATTAATTTATTTTCAAGTTGCGAAAGTTTTAATTCTCATTACTGATATTTATTCTGCAAAAAAATATATTTCAAAACACAAGTAATTTTTATTATTTTTAGTACATATATCACTAAATAATAAATATATATGTTAAATTTCAGCAAATCGTATTGAAAACCTCAGTAGACGTACGTCTTACGTGGCTGCCAACAATAGGCTTCATCTGCGTCTGCCAGAGCCTGAGTATTCCAACTACATCATGATGAGAACAATTAACGATGCGACCACCCTCGCTTTAGAAGAGAAGAGAATTTTTGACGAGATGGACAGAGTCGCGAGGCAGAACGAGGTCACACCTGGAGATGATCCAGGTGCTTCCAGCATGGTTTACAGCAGTGTGCTATGTGTGGCCATGAGTTTACTAGCTTTACAGGTCTTGGTGTAAACAGGGTACTGCTGGACGGAGAATCTGGTAAATGTATATAATAGTTTAGTTGTTACTGTAGATTTTAATGTGACATACGTGTTTTTAAGAATATCTTAAATTGATCTGTATAAAATGTGTTTCAATGTAGATATTCAGTTTTTTATAATTCATTTTGCATATGATTATATTCTAAAATGTGTCTGATTTCATTCTGTAAATTTCCTTTTCTATGATTTTTATCAAATGTGTTTCCATATGTTTTATATGTAATTAAATACTCTATTTTGTGATACATTTTCTGTTAGAGAGAATTTAATATTTTTTTGTCATAAAATAAAGTTTATAAATTAATTGACTGTTTATTTGTTATACATATCAATAGTAGACTTTACTACATGTAAGTCTTTATGTTTGGTATAATTTCTTAAATAAAAAGTAAAAAAAATATCTCGAATGTCGAACGGTGTTCTTTGTATATAAAAAGAAATAATTGAACTCTATTGGAAGATTTTGCATTAAATTTCTGTAGAGCTTAATTAACAATTACATTGACACATCCTGTTCGAGATACAAATAGGGACCGTTTTTTGTTATTGATCAAAAAGTTGAATGTACTTTTATTTGTTTAGAATTGAAACGTAATATAGTTTCTCAGAAATTAATATTGAATTACTTGATAGACATGTCTATGTGTACTAACTTTAAAAGTAATTAAATTCGACCTTACTTAGAGTCATTCAGAACTAAGTAGCTTGATAAAATGTCTGAATGAATGTTCGAGGTACAGATTTTGTGTTGTTTTTCAATGTTCGGCGTTACATTCAAGTTTTAATAATGTCTCATAAAATGGCTGAAGTCAGTATTTATTGTTTTTGAATACAGGTTGATACTTAAATGTTGCCATAACAAAATTACAATGATGCAGTTTTATTATTAACTAGTTTTTGCCCGCGACTTCGTCCGCGTTAGTTTGGTCAAGAGTAATATATGTAGGTATAGCTGACCAGGCGAACTCTATTTCGTTTTAGAGGCCACAAATAATCAGGTTTTTCCTGTTTCAATCAAACAGAATGATTGACATATTAGTTAGTTGTCAAATCTAATGTCAAAAAAAAACGTTTGTATGGGCTTTTTTGGGGTTTTTTTAGGGTTTTCCCGACAATTATTCCAATTTTTCTCACCTTTTAAACCTTCCCTGGACTTCCAGAAGTATTTTAAGACTAAAATTAGCCAAATCGGTTCAGCCGTTCTCGAGTTTTAGCGAGACTAAGGAACAGCAATCCATTTTTATATATATAGAAGAAGGAGATTATAATCTGTCATACAAATATGTGTATGTATGTTATAATCAGTACGCCACAGATGGCGCCACTCGTAACATGAAATCGTACAAAACTGAATTACAATTGCATATTTTAAATTTGCTTCACCTATCAAACTTTTCTCTGAACAAGCTATAAATGTAGCGTAAACTACATATATTTAAATACAGTCTGAAATTATGAAACTAAGTCTGAGTGTTTCACTGTAAGAGCCGGATTGTACTACTTGAAATGAAATAAAACAATATTTCTAATAGTTTATATATACTTCTATGTACCATAGAAACAAACTTCTGAGCATGTCCGTATACATGAGGAGCTGCCTTCCTCTATAGCGTCTGTTCTTTTAAGTTTAATGCGATCTATTTCTTCTACTACTTTATTTTCTTCTGATATTAATCTTATCGCATTGTTGATGGTCCTCAGTAGAGGGTAGTTCGCGTAGTTGGCTTTTGGTAAGGTCACTGTTGGCTTGTTGTTTATGATGGTGTAGAAACTGATCTTATTATCAGCTGGAATTTAAAAAATATATTAGTCTGCTGTGTGGAGTAAAGTTTACATCATCATCATCAATCTCGTTAGAAATCAACAACCCGCCTTGAGTAAGCGTGGTGATTAATGATTAAATCTTCTCCATATGAGAAGAGGCCTTTCAGCAGTGGACTCTGATAGGCTGATGATGATGTCAAAGTTTATATAGTATTGTAAATAAACTTGAATGATTTTTAAATTCGTATTTCTAGCTAATATTCGTAGTCTTTTTTTTTACCTTCAGCTAAGTTTTCCAAAGCTCGTTTCAAGGTGGCTTCGTCTGAAAACTTCTTATACCTCGCTATGTAATCAGCGTACGTGTCGTGTTCCTCGTCACACGCTCCTCTGAAGTCATCCGTCACGATGCTCCAGGATGAGAAGCCTCCCAGCTCATAGTCTAGACCCAGTCTGGAAGAATGGTCATTATAGAATGGATAATCTCATAGGAACTAGCAATAATCATGATAGTTTTAATTTAAACTATGAAAATCTACATAAACTTAATGAGATCTAAGACTTTCTCAAGTATTTATTTTATTGAAACTAATATTTTTGGATTACTACGCCTTTTTTAAATATTTTCACCTACATAATCTCGTGATCACGATATATGAGAAGTAACCGAAACGTCGGGATAATCCAAAAAATATTAGTTTCATTTAAAAATGAACTTATTTGTTCGGATTATATTTTGTTTACAGTTCAATATCATCTTAGTATTGGTTTTATTTTCAATATTGAATTATACATATCTTTGACTCATACTTGACTTTATCAGCAATGGTCCGTGGACTGTCGTAACTTATAAACTGCTCTCCATTCCTGAGGTAGGCTGTGCTGGACTTCTCATGCCAGCCCTTGGTCCAGCCAGAGGTTCTGTTACTGAACGCTGAACATATCTGAAGATGAATACAAATGTGACTTGAAACTATATATAATATAGTTGAAAATTTTGATTAAGGACATTTTTCTGTCTCAAGGCTTCAGTCTTTTTTTAAATATACTTTAATGAACATATCTTCTTTGATTCTGCCCGTGATCACGGTCGCTCTAAAGTAACCGAAACGTCGGGAGTATGTAATTTTTTAAAATAATAAAATACAAGTATGTCTATTCGAAAATATTAGTTTCATTTAAACTCCTGAGTTTTAGTTCTTATTATGTCTCATACCTCGTTGTATCCCATAAAAGCTGGTTCATTACTCAAGGGTCCAGAGAAACCAATAGTTAGTGTTGCAGTGGAATAAAATTCTACGTTTTTAATATCTCCATGCACGAGGTTGTACGTCCGTCCATACATCGGCAGACCAAGAATCAGTTTACCCAACGTCATGCCGCGATCTCTCAGATAACGTATCGTGTAATCCTAGAACACAAAAAGAAGAATAAGTCTTATATGATAGTAAAGCTTCTACATTATTATCTTGTTATTTTTTCTTTATGAAAATGGTACTAAACGAGCAGACGGTCTACTAGAAGGGAAGTTGTCGCCGTCGCGTATGGACATCTGCAACTTAATAAATGTTGTAAATGCGTTGCCACCTTAATTTTCGAGGAGAGAGGAATTAGTGGGAATAAGGAGTGGGCAGGACACGGTGGGAATAGATAAAAGGCAACCGGCTCTTTCACTTATTGCACGAAACGCAGCCATTAAAGACTACTTCACGTCGATCTTTTGTGAGAGGGTGGTACTTCCCCGGTTCAGCCAGCACATGTTCGCGCTACCACCTCAAAAGTCTTACTTAATAAGCTATTTTTGATGATTGTGTCAAAGAAATTGTATCTAAATCTAAATAAATCTTTCCAATGTGGCTTGCCAAAGTAACATTTTACTTACTACACTGAGTATATCACCAACAGTTCTTCCTTTGATGGGCGCATGTGGAGCTATAAGTCCATCCCACGGTCCGTGGTAGTCATACGTCATGAGGTGGATGAAGTCCAGGTAGTAATTGAGCTGGTCGAGATCATACACAGCATTCATGTCCTCTTTAGTAGTTCTGATAGCAGCGGTCAGTAAGTAGCTCTTGGGTTCGAAGGCTTCCGATAGCTCCTGAAATATATTACATTTTTATGAAGTGATAAACATATGAAGGAAAATACATGTCCAGAAGCTGTATGGAATATTACGTATATTATATGCCATGTGGTCTAGACTGAATTATTTAATTAAATATATTATGTGGGTTCTTAAGTATGGTCTTAAAAAGATGTGGTGAAGTTTAAATCGATCCCACAGGATTAGAGACTAAAAATAAGGGTATTTATATATTTTAAGACAAATATCCTTAAAGGTGAGGTACTATTTGAATTTTTAGTGTCCAAAAGTAATCTCTTGCCTCACCCAGGACAAGAGGGGTCATTTGATGATTTTCCCTTAAAAAAAAAATGTCCAAAAGTAATAATGATTTTTTACATATTAAGGACTACTGCCTAAATCAGGTATAAAAATTTACCGTCTTTAACATTAGCTTCTCTAAACATTATAACATTTCCTTATAAATCGTGTTATAAATTATTGTTTTAAAATATTCCGCGTCAATGTTCAGCTATTATCGGAACTGTCATAAGGAAAATACATCGAGAAAATAATATACCCAGCGTTGAGTTCGTTCACATTAATTCTAATATACGTCTAAAGCTTTAATTCGACTTATATTTTAATGAATAAAAAAAACGAATTAAAGTATAAGTATATCTGACAAAACTACTTTAATTTACAAATAAATATATCTAAAACATAGAACTAATACATTTAATGTGCACACAACCAATTTTTTCATAAACCGGTTCTTGTATTCTACACGTTATAAAATGAATTATCGAAAAAATAGTAACTAGGTAAAAGTCAGAACAGTATTTAGAAATATATTCTCCTTGGAATTTGTTTAATGGTTTTAAATATCTTATGTCTTATAACCATCCTTCAAGACTGATATACAATTAAGTATCTGGAAAAATACTTTTTGAAGTTAATTAATATAAGTTTTAAAAAATGAAATAAGACGATATCCAGACCTACATGTTTAAGTGTCAACTTACTTTAAGTCTTACTTTCACTTTAAACATAGTCATTAGGTTTTTGTAACTTAGGTCTTTGATGTTTGAAGTATTGACAAAATTATTAACAAACGAAGTGTAATAAAAACTGCTACATGATTAATCCTTTTCTAATCTAGAACTTTATATGAGTTCAAACAAGATTAAACAAAAGAAAGTCTATATAAGTGACGAAACTTCTCATCATTCAATGAATTCACGGTGCGTGTGTCGGGTCCATCGTTGTAGTGAGAGGAAATTCAACAGTGACTGGGACTTGCGACCCAGGTGTAGGTTTAAGGAGTCCCTATCTAACGCGCGTGAAACGCTCACCTCCACCGTCCAAATTCTACCTAACCAAATTTTAAACGAACCTACTAGGACTGTCTTGGAAGTATGATTATGTTATACATACCTTGAGAAGTGTCACATACGTTGTCCTGTCTGTTTTGTTTCCTCCTCTCTGTGTTGGATAATCCCAGTGCAAGTCGAGACCATCGAACTTGTATTTACTGTAACATTACAATCAACTGGACATTAATATGTTCAAATATATCCAAAATAAAGGTATTTAGTCAGTTAAAACAATGAAAAAAGTCTTAAAGATTATGATGAATCGCCGTACAAGTGATGAATAGAAGAAATAGAACTAATTATATGTATTACAAAAATATATTTAACTTACTCCAAGAATGCCATGACACTATCAATAAAAGTTTTTCTAGCTGCTGGGTCTCCGGCCATCTTGGAGTACTTGATGGATCCTTCGTTCCATCCGCCCACAGAGATGGTCACTTTAAGATGTGGATGCTTCTCTTTGAAGGCCACAACTCTCTTGTAGGCTCCCTTGCCATAATTATCTTCTAAATCTTGCCAGGGGTCTGTTCATAACATGTATATTATTATTTGGAAACATTTTTTTGGTTAAGACTTATATGAACCCATTTTTCTACATAAATATTCAAAATAATATGTCCAAGCTCAAAAAAAAAGTAAATAGTTGAATAAACGTATTTTGATCAATCTTTGTACGCTGGTATCTACAGTGGAACCATAGAATAAGCAAGAAATCAGTCTTTTAAATGGAGCTGCTTATAAATATTGATATCAAAGTAATTAATCTATACAAGACTCACCAAGACTCTTGATATTATTGGTTTCTTCATCAAGTCCGGCGAAGCAGTACACGAGGTGTGTACACAGCGAGGGTTCAATGTCTTCTATGTTGAAGGCTCCGGCACCAGGTCTGTACACCGCCCAGCTCGATATGAAGCATACGATCAGCTTGTCGTGGGGAGGAGCTGGCGAGGTTAAATGATAATCAATTATTAAACTAGCAACCCTCAAGCCACTTATATAAGGAGAATCATTACTGACAATCTGACACATTTTCTTCTCAACTATTGCCAAGAGAAGCTCTACCCTAATTTGTCTTGAATATTAATAAATAGGCTGTAAACGAGCGAAAGTTTTTTTTAAACATAACGTGTTTTCTTTTCTAGCATATAAATAGACATACAACGAAAGTAACAATCGAATATATCAGTTAAAAGTAAACGTTGTTCTGATGTTTTGTAAGTATGAAATGCAATTCAAGACTTTTACGAGTACTCATTTAAATATTTTATCATGCGTTTTTTATTATTTTAACTGCTTACTCGTACATACTAACAAGGAGCCTTTTTAAGCCGTCTGTCCGTGATCACAGTCGCTGTAAAGTAACCGAAACGTCGGGAATATGTGTTTAAATTAATAAAATACGCGTAGTGATACCGAAAATATTAGTTTTATTTATGTTTTATGTATGATTTAAACAATATACTCTTACTTGTAAAGTTTTCGTAGCTACCGCCTGTCCTAAATTCTGATTACTGTATATATATATAATACTACATTCAGTAACCATTCTTTACTTGCTCATTATGTTGACTAATTATGATTCTCGATGACTAAAGTTTAAAAAATTGTAGTTATCCCTACTAATATTATAAATGCGAAAGTAACTCTGTCTGTTACGCTTTTACGCCTAAACCACTGAACTGATTTTAATGAAATTTGGTACAGATATAGAGTCGACCTTGAGAAAGAACATAGGATAGTTTTTATCCCAGACTTTTGAAAGGTTCTCTTGGAAACGCGATGTAACCGAACTTCACGCGGGCGAAGCTGCGGGCAGAAATCTAGTAAAGAATATAGTTTACAGGTACAGGTTTGAAGAGAATGTTTGTAAGTCAGACGCGATTTAAAAATGTAGTTTGAATATACCAGCTAAGTATTGGATGAAATAAACATATGTTTTTAACTGATCATCTTTTCATTATAAATATAAGTCAAATTATTCTTGTATTAGTGAGAGAATTTGTGAATTAACTGGCTATTTGAATGGATAGGAATCCTGTATTTTGATTGCTTAATACTCTAAGTCTACGAAGTTTACAAAAATATAATAAATAATAATCGTTGATGTTAAGATCGTTTTAGAAAATATATTATAGGTTTGTTCTTAAATTAATTTCAAACTTGTACATAATCTGGATTACATAATTGGTAAATACCAAACAGGCAAACAATATAGGAAATAGACTTATAATTAATACAGACCACAACAACAGTGAACAGATACAAACGTTAATTTATTTTACCCGTTGGTTTATACCACTTATTATTAATCAACGCTTTATGTATATACTCTATTATATATACAAAGTCCTCTCAGCATTATAATTCTAGTTTATCCATTCCTTATTCTAGATATACGAGTTTTATTGAATCCTATACGACCTCTATAAAAATGTAGAAGAATGTTTTTTTACACTAAGTGAATAGCTATTAATATATGTATATATACAGAGTATGATAAAGATATGGCTTACTGCTTTATACATATTTACCATTTTATTTTTTACTGTCACTGATCAATTCCAACAATATTTATTTCCAAGTTAAAGGATCTTTAATTTTTATTACAAAAATATTCTATTTATTCCTTTCCTTGTGAATTAAGTAAAATAAACATTTTCTTTTTCATAATATTTATAAAAAAACTCCACCATTGTGTTTTAGATGGTGTTCATATATATGTATGTGTACATATGTTTAAAAAAATAAGATTAAACAATATACATACTAGTAAAAACATAACACCTTTTTAGGTTCCTAACAGTCGGATAATGATAATCAAACACTAATTATAATTTAGCGATGATAACAATATATACTTCGTGATTTGTATAAACAGAACGAAAACCGCTTTTGTATAAATTATGATCCTAATAATCCTTTTGTATCGAAATGGCGATACATTTGCTAAATTTATATGTATAATTTAAATGTTATTATGGTCAATAAGTTTACCCCAAGTTCGCACTACGGACGTAGAGTTAACAGTATTTCAATAAGACAAAATATTAAACAAATATTATGTACTAGCTTTCCGCCCGCAGCTTCGCCCGCGTGGAGTTCGGTTATATCGCGTTTCCAAGAGAACCTTTCAAAAATCTGGGATAAAAACTATCCTATGTTCTTTCTCAAGGTCAACTTCATCTCTTTACCAAATTTCATTAAAATCAGTTCAGTGGTTTAGGCATGAAAGCGTAACAGACAGACAGACAGAGTTACTTTAGCATTTAAAATATAAGTAGGGATTGTGACTTGTTGTGACAGACTTGTGGTAAACAAATCATTGTACAGTAATTATTGATTACTGATAGTTCAAATGTTAAAGAAACATTAATATATTAATAGATTTAGTTTAGTTGTTTCAATATTAAAAGGCTAATTCTCATATGTTTTCCTGTTTGTCAATATTAAGTTTTACATTTGACTTTTGACTTTTATCAACATCGTTGTTTTAATATTTCGACTATATTATTTTATTATACATATAGTAATTATTAAAATGCTTACGTTTTCCTTTAGGTACGTTCTGGCAGTTATAATGTGTGAGGTTTAATAGAAATATTATTATATATAACGATTTAATAAACATGTCTGCGTCTGTGATTTGACGACCGTCGCGAAGGACGACTGAGGAAAAACTGGTTAAGGAGACGATACGACGCACGCTCTCAGCTCTGTGTGTGTGACTTAAAATGCTTATAGATTTAACTTAATATAATGATAATTTAATTTTAATATATATATTGTTGTACTATCTCTAGTAACTTTTAATTATTTAATAATTATTCAATAATTTGTTTTTTAATACAATACTGAACAAACGGGTTTTCAATGGTTTATTTATATAGAATAAAAGTCGTGACTCTGTGTATTAAATGTTCTGCAGGCACTTTAAGAATAATATTATTTGTCCAGTTGATAAAGATTTCTTTGATTGAATATTGTTTGACTTGTAAAGATATATAGACTAGCTTTCCGCCCGCAGCTTCGCCCGCGTGGAGTTCGGTTATATCGCGTTTCCAAGGGAACCTTTCAAAAGTCTGGGATAAAACTATTGTATGCTCTTTCTCAATTTCAACTCTATCTCCGTGCCAAATTTCATTAAAAACAGTTCAGTGGTTTAGGCGTGAAATCGTAACAGACAGACAGACAGAGTTACTTTCTCATTTATAATATTAGTAAGGATGAATGGAAGCTGAGTTTGATCAAAGATAAATAATGAAAAATGTATTTGAGAAACTTATAGCTTACAATACTTATAAAAATATCACACTTGTAATCTTTGTTTAGGAATACCAACTGGCCATGGGTACACTTAAGCACCTGATCCATCTTTTAAGGTAACTTTATAAGAATGATATAGCATCCGTCAGAACAAATGATATACTATCGCGCCATTTCCATCCTAGCACTGGATTTCGACAAAGGGGTATAATATCAACCCTTCTGTTCAACATCTATTCGGAAATAATAATGAGAATAACTCTTGAGGACTGGGAAGATGGGATAACTATCGGTGGACAGAGGATTTCAAATCTACGCTATGCAGATAATACTACTTTGTTCGCGACAAGCATTTGCCATGGAAAATCTACTTAGCAAAACGTCATCCTCGAATTTGGCCTTAAAATCAATCGCAGCAAGACCAAGATTATGATTGTCGACCGGGCTAATAATAATAATTGATTCGCCAGAGGTCACTCGAATTGCGAATTGTGAGGTCGTACAGTCATATATCTACTTAGGAGCTCTGATCTCCAATAATAGAGGGGTCATTGATGACATCAAACGCCGAATGGCTATAACGAGGTCAGCAATAAGCAATTTAAAGAAAATATGGGGTAATCGAAGTATCACCAAAGCCACAAAAATACGACTTGTGAAGGACTAATATTCCCTACATTTCTTTATGGTGCTGAGACGTGGACCATAAGAGAATGTGAGAAGAAGAAAATAGACGGAAATAGAATAAATAGATGAAAATATCTTGGACGGAATTTCGAACTAACCATTCCATTCTACAAGAACTCGGCATCAAGCATCATCTTCCATCATCCAATCGCGTATTCTCACATTCTTTGGCCATGTGTCGCGGCGTGGTAATGATTCTGTGAAGCGCGTGGTGGTGCAGGGTGAAGTTGAAGGGACAAGGCCACGTGGTAGAGCGTCATTGCGTTGGCTTGATCAACTGTCTTCACTCGACAAAAGCTCTTGTAACTTGTGCGCCAGGAAGGCATTGATTCTAGAGGAATGGCATCGAATTATCAGGCGAGCCACCACTACACAAACGGATGACCACGACCACTCTGTCAAGAGTGATACCGACTGAGAAGAAGAATCTTTGTTTCTGACTTGTTACTTAGTTTTATATGAGTTTCTTAGTTATCTTCTTCTTGCTGGCAATTTCACAGCTTTAGCCAGGGTCTGTCCCAAGAGTGTCTTAGTTATATCATACTATAATTAAGTCAGTGGTGGCCTAGTGGTTAAAAAGGTCCGCCTCTCATGCATGAGGGGGCGGGTTCGATCCTGGCAAGTATCAATGTGATTTTTCCGAGTCATATGTACTTTCTAAGAGCATTAAGACATCACTGATTAATGCATTCCCAAAGAGGGTTGATGTCAGGCAGGCGATCGGTCGTAAAAACAATTAGCCAAAACTATTCACAACATGTTAGGCAGACCGTGGATAAAGCTGAGAAATTAATACTTTTAAAAAATAAATACTTTTAGAAAGTAAGTACATATGACTCGGAAAAATCACATTGGTACTTGCCCGGGCCAGGATCGAACCCGCGCCCTCATGCATGAGAGGCGGACCTTTTAACCACTAGGCCACCACTGATTTAACTGACCGACTTAACTGACTGACTTAACTGACTAACTTTTTCCATTACACAACTATCACGGATTATTATTACAAAACTCTAACAGTAATTCATTTTGTAAAGATTTACTTTCGTTTTCATAGTCCCAGGCACTGTAAAAGTTACTCTTTCTACAACCATGGACCCGACACCTGCGCCGTGAATACATTGAATGATGAAGTCTCGTCTAAATGTTGGTCTGGTAGATAAGTACGATTTAAAGACTACTTATTCAAAGTATGGATCCTGGAGCAATATATTTCATGAACTCACTACTTACAATGCCAAATAATACCTCATTTCATATTAATTTCAGTGTTCATATCTTTATGTAAATTCAAACAGTTGTGTATCAAACATTTTTTTGTCGACCACAGACACGTTGTGAGTCATGATGTGGGTTTATAAAGTCGTGTTAGTATAATAACAGTTCAGTGAGGAGTGTTCTCTTGTGGTGCTAGTGGTAGTGGGAGTGGGATGTTTTCGTCATGGAAAGGAATAGTTTTCTTCATCACGACATGTTCAGCCATCGTCGCGGGACAGAATGTGAGCGGTAAGGACTTGTTACTTGTAATAAATTTGATATAATTAAAATAATATTATAGTCATTAATGTATATTAAATAGTATCCAATTTATCAACGAAAATAAATTTCGTTATTCCTAAGTTATAGAGAATATAGATATATTAGTTAATGTTAAGTGAAATAATGATTTTAATCAAAACTTTGGAACGGTTTTTTAGAAACAAAATAATACTTATTCGTTCATAGTAATTTTGGTAATTAATACGAGGAAAACTAAAAGATTTCAAGGTTTGTTTCGGAATTAGATACAAATGTAACAAATTTATCAGATTAATATATATTTGGAATTTAGATTTAAGTTTACTGAATGCAAATATTTGAAATAGAAGTAGGTCTAAAATATTCTATAACAACAAACAACAAATATCAAAAACGAACAGAAAATAAGCTGATCATGTAGTGTTATCCTCACTTCATCATTATATTTGAAGGTTTCTCCAATCCCTTCAATTAAAGCTTTAACGAATATAAGCAACAATAAACATAATTTTTTTAAGAAAAAACATCATTCTTATGAAGATTGGAGTACGTGTTGATAACAAAAAATCTACTAAAGTGGCGAACAGACACACTGACTGATACATACTTGTAGCAAAACAAACTCTTTACATTCATGAATAAACACTTTGATAATATTAACCTTTGATATATCAAAATATAATATTGACTTTTATGTAAGCTCCCAAGTTATATATTTACACGAATATTGAGGATATCACTTGAAAGAAGTCCCAAAAGTTCTTGACTTATACAGTGTACTACAAATCTATTTATATCTAAAAGGACTCAACTGGACTATAGACTAAATTATAAACTAGACTATTTATTGGACTATAGACTTTTTTAAACGTCAATGGGGCAAACCATCAGATAGCCTACCTGATGGGAAGTAATTACCATCGCCCATGGACATCTACAACATGATAGGTGTTGTAGATGCGTTTCCGACGTTGATTGTGATAAACTAGACTATTGACTAGACTATCAATATCTATTTATAACGAAAACATTGTTATTTATGTATATTTAATAGCAAAAAGATCAGTTGAATGATAAATACAAGACTAAAACTATTACAGACATCTACAAAAACTGTTTATTTATAATTTTCTACGATACATTACGTTAGACAAACGCTGTTATACATTTGTCTGCCCCTCGAATATCCATAAAAGACTCAAGTTTTTACAACAACTAGTAGGAATTGAAAAATGATCTGCTGCTAAATTTGTTTCTATTATATTATCAGAAAAGGAATATTCTCCTTAATTCTTCATACATACATTCATACTTTATTCTTCTTCATCATATGTCCTCCTGAGTTAAACATCTAGTTATTTTCCACCTGCAAGGCGCTTCGCTTTTCCTACACGTGACTACAAGTAGCCTTACCACTTGATGCAAGATGGGAAACACAATGAATTTATTATTCAGCATTTCTCTATCTGAATAAAGCTATAGTGGAAAGTGAAAGTTTAAAAAAATAAAAGTGTGCGTTTACGGAAATCCATATTATTATGATATACATATTTTTCATAATATGACTAATTGCTTCTTATTAAAAAATATCAATATCTGGCCTAGAAACGAAACGTTTTCACACATGGGATCAAATAGATAACATATAAATTTCATAAAAGTTTGATAATTTTCTTATAAATTGTTAATTCTTCGGGCATTCATATAAAGGCACCAGTATTATTCAACCTACTCCTAAGTTTGACAAAAATCGGTTCTGTAGTTTTTTTTTAGTTTTTCTATACAAACATAGCCAGCCAATATATATATAATAATTTTAATAAATCTCAGTTATTTAATACATATTAATAATTAATTTCTGTTATAGTCTCCTTATCTAAATGCCTCCTAACTAATTGCCAGCATTTACAAATATTATCCCCTAAATTTTCCTGTTATGCCACATGCTATTGTAAATTAATGACTACATATTTTGAGAATATCTACAAATACATTTTCCTCTCCCAACAAAATACAGATTAAAACACAATATTATTGTGTATATTTAATGAGTTATTTGTTTTCTTTCAGGTCCAAAACATGGAAAGAACATCGTATGTTTTCTGGCGTCTTGGTCTTTTTATAGGTTAGACCCAATCAAGTTTCATTCATCCGACTTGGACCTGTCATTATGTACACACATAGTCTACTCTTTCGCTGTTCTCGATGAGAACACAAATGAAATTAAAAGTTCAGGTAATTAATACGATTAACAGATATTTAAAGTATTTGTTAACAAAGGAATGGCATGCATATATTAATAATAACAAATATTTAATGTTTCACGTCAAGTTATATTTTACAGTTGTACATTTATATATTTAACGTACTTCGAAGGTAGCCCTAGTAGGTTCTTTTCAAATTTGGTTCTGTAGAGAGAGGAGCTTGTACCGTGGAGGTGAGCATTTAACGCGCGTTAGATAGGGTCCCTTACACCTACACCTGGGTCACAAGTCCCAGTCACTGTTGAGGCTCCTCTCACTACAACGATGGACCAGACACCCGCACCGTGAATACATTGAATGATGAGAAGTTTCGTCACTTATATAGACTTTCATTTGTTTACTCTTGTTTGAACTTATATAAAACTCTAGAATAGAAAATTATTAATCATGTACAAGTGTTTTTTTTTTTGTCGATAACTTCAATTATTAAAAGCCTAAGTTACAAAAACCTAATGACTATGTTTAAAGTGAAAGAAAAACTTAAAATAAATTTTAACTTACAGATGCAGGTCTGGATATTGAGAATAAGGATGAAACAGTTGGATACAAAGCGTTTGTTGACCTCAAGAAACAGAATCCTCATCTTAAAGTGACCTTGTGTGTCGGTGGGTGGAATGAGGGGTCACGGAAATATTCCAAAATGGCTAGAGGTCCAAATTCAAGGAAACAGTTTATACAGAGTGTCATCACATATTTACAGTAAGTATTCCGTGTGAAAAAATATATCTATATATATATATATATATATATATATATATATATATATACATATATAAAAGGATTCATTTATACTTTTTTCCCTTAGTCAAGGCATCACGCGTGAATAGCTGGACCGATTTTACTAATTCTTTTTTTCATTAACGTATTTGTTATTATAAGGGGAAGGTAAGAATACTTATGTAAGAAAAAAATCACACAAAAAAAATACTACAATATTTCACTTTTTTAATAAAATAATGTGTCGCAGGCAGTTGTCATTAAAACAAAGAAAAAATTAAACCAGATTTACATTATGTTTGCAAATATATCTGTCGGAGTTGGTCTGTGGCCGGAGTTATAATATTAAATACCTACATGTAATTCATTTACCATTCCTTAGTGTACCCTCCACATTGGTTTCTACAGTATATTTTGTAGTGTGTGTAACAGATATTTCTTGATTATAGGGCGGTAAGAAGTTCGCCGGGTCAGCTAGTAATTAATATTTTACTCTCAAGTGAAAGAAAAAATATAATTATTCAGAATAATAAAGGTTTTTGTAGGTTATATAATTCATTTAAACGAATTTGGTTTCGAGGTTGTTCAAACAATATAAATATAGTCCATTTTTTTATTGACAAATATGTAAATTGATTCAATCAATAATTTCTTCGAATAATCTTTACAACTGATTACTTCCAGAACGTATAATTTCGATGGTCTCGACATTATGTGGAAGTATCCCACGACCAGGGGCGGCGAGAAACAGGACAGAGAGAACTTTGTTACTTTAATTAAGGTACATAATATTGACATGAGATATATAATATTTTGTATAACTAATAGAATATGTTAGTGTTTGAATCATTTAAAACTGCCATGATTTCATGAGATCTATATTTTTTCTTCCGAAGAGAAATTCTTATCAAAATTAATTTCATCACTACATTATTTTTAAGTCATAATGGCACATTTATTTATTTCCACTGCTTAAAAATATTTTGGTCACAAATTCATAGAGAACAAATAAGTTTTAATAACATTCGTGAGTATTCATTTAAATGAAACTAATATTTTAAGATGACAACGCGTTATTTTATTATTTTTAAAACTATGTACTCCCGAAGTTTCGGTTATTTTGCAGCAAACGAGATTACGGGCAGACGAGATATGAAACTATTCGTTTTAATGTTTAAACTTTAAACCTAAATTCATATATTTTCATCATCAGGAACTGAAGGAAGCTTTTCTTCCACACAACTTAATTTTAACCGCGTCTTTGACTGGGGTTAAAGATGTGATGGAACCAGCATACGACTTGGGCCAGTTGAACAAATACTTGGACATGATCCATGTTTTGGGCTACGACTACCACGGGCCATGGGATGGGATAGTTGGCGCAAATTCACCGCTGTCTTCCACCTCTCAGGATAACACTCGAAATTTAGTAAGGGAAAAAGATAAGCTTACTCGTAAAATGATGAATTTATTACAACGAAAATTATGACTGATTTAATATTTCATTTCCAGGAATACACAATAAGGTACATGATTGCTTTGGGCGTTAATCCTGAGAAAATAGCCCTGGGACTGCCTCTGTTTGGAAGAACTTTTCTTTTAAACAACCCAAAAGAGGAACGAGTACAATTCGGTGGAACAACAGTTAAGGGAGTCGGATTCCCTGGACCAATAATAAAAGGAATAAATTATTATGCGTATAATGAGGTGAGTTATACTGGAATGATTAGTTTTTCTATCAAGACAAGTTTTTAAATGGCATCAAAAAATAGCTTCTATATAAACCATTATTTATATACATATACTTTTTTTAAAGCAGTCTATAACTAAGTATACATAGTCAATGGTCTATACCATATTGTTTTGAACAAACGATTTTTATTCGACTCCAAAATATTTTAATCATAATTTTTATCAAACGCGACCGTCCACATAACCTAACCCTTAAAAAATGGATTAGTAAATATATTGAAGCACTTGTTTTACAAATAATGTTACAGTTACCCTTTACCCCCCATCTAGGTTTGTATGGAACTGACCAACAAGTCCGTACCCTGGGATTATCATTGGGATGAAGAGTCCTCCACACCATATCTCCGGGATAAAGATCGCATCATATCATATGATAACCCTCGCTCAATAGCAAATAAAGTTAAGTAAGTTATCCTAAAAATATTAAGTACGAATTCCAAAATTTAAACCAGTTTTGGAGGATAAAAAGAAGATTCTCTTATCTTCTATATATAAGAAGAAATTAAATTAAATTTTAATATCTCAAGACTTCATGTTTTTTTGCACTATTTTTTGGAACATGGTTGTTCAAAAAATTTTGCTACTAGAACTAAAAACTACATTTGCCAAATTTATATAATCGTAAATTTATTTGGAGCAGATAATTTAATTTAGTTCTTTCGTTAGACTGGCCATAGACTATAATCTGGGAGGCTTCATGGTGTGGAGCGTTGATACGGATGACTTCAAGGGTCTGTGTGACCCTAGCAATGACACTTATGTTGACTACGAGGCGAGGATCAACAGAATATCAGAAGATCAAACGTTACAGGACGCCATACACAGACTAGATCTGTCAGAAAGTGAGTTAAACTTGTCAAAATCTAATAAAATCAATCTCTATAGAACCTAGAACATAAGACAGTGTCCGATCATTTCAAGTAGACAAAACTGCTGATCTATTTAAGCAGGTTGCGAACAAAAGTATTTTAGCATTACTTAAATGTTTAATATGATGAATTGTCTTGAAAGTTTATGTCCGTAGGCTCCTTTTTTAAATTGTAATCCCTACTAATATTATAAATGCGAAAGTAACTCTGTCTGTTTGTTACGCTTTCACGCCTAAACCACTGGACTGATTTTAATGAAATTTGGTACAGATATAGAATTGACCTTGAGAAAGAACATAGAATAATTTTTATCCCAGACTTTTGAAAGGTTCTCTTGGAAACGCGATATAAACGAACTCCACGCGGGCGAAGCTGTGGGCGGAAAGCTAGTCTTACATACATCTTTACAAAACAAAACTAATATTGATTTGACAAATTAGAAAGCACCACAAGTTTTAGGACGATCTGTTAAAAATCTAAACGATAGCATTACACATACTTAAGTACGAACTCAAAATATATTATATGTACATAATTCATATTTTTATAAATATATGTTTCAGTGGATTACTACGTTAAGATGGATAACAAATTGAAATTCAACAAACCCAAGCAGGAGTTCAAGAACTTCCAAATGATGAGAACCATCGACCAGGCGACGTCTGTGGCTCTCGAAGAAATAAAAATAGTTCTCGCGATATGGGAGAAAAGAAGATTCGTCAACGAAATAAGCGGAACTAGTTTTATTTTACCAACGAACGATGACTGTGAACACTCCTGCGTCAGTTCATGTATCAAAATGTGTCAGAATCCTTTTTTATAATAGCGTTAATACTTCTTATTTTTTATAAATGACCCATAATTATTACATATATTTGATCAACATTAATTAAATATTGGAGCTCACATGACTAGAGTAGCGGAACTACTGAAGTATTTACTTAAATGTAAAAACTATTTGTAATAAATAAGAAGTATTAAATAAACATTTTTATTATTAAAAATAAATAAAGGAACATGGGAAAGGATTTGAATCACAGATCTTCATAGGGGGAGCCACATCGCACGTTGTAGAAATGATCACAGACCTGGAAGGAAAAATATATTATATACATGGAGATTAAATAAATAGTAATTAAAAGTTTCAAGTAAAACGATTTACAATGTTAGTTCAATCTTACATTATACAGGGTGACTGGTGAATTACTATCAATATTTAAGGAGAATACTCGGTACATGATTCTCATTCGAATTATGTAAAAAAAAAAATAGGCACTTAATTTTTGACAAAATTTCCGTATAAATAAATAAAGCGTGGACACGTTCCAAGTGTTCCAAGTGTGGACGCGTGCGGCGGCGTGCTGATACAAGACCACGCCCCCGCCGCGCGTGTGTGAGTGTGTGTGTATACCTAATCTGTAGGGTGTGCACACGATGCGTAATTAATTACACAACTTTTGGTTAACTTTACTTACAAGTTTATTAATATTTATGTTATATTAATTTTTATTTTGTCATATATGATCGTCAAATATCACGTCCTCAAGTATCGATAGTAATTCACCAGTCACCCTGTATAACAATAATGACGTTCGTTAAATATTTGTTTTGATAAATAAAAAATAGCAAATACACTGATTGACTGTATATATATAGTTTTTAATTTAGCGTAGGTAAATACACGATAAGATTATTCATCATCATCAGCCTATCAGAGCCCACTGCTGAGCTGCCTCTTCTCACATGGAGAAGGTTTGAGCATTAATCACCACGCTTGCTAAGACGGGTTAGTGATTTCGAACTTATAATTGTGAAATTATAAGTCCAGGTTTCCTCACGATGTTTTCCTTCACCATCTATTGATAAATAAACTATGATTTGACTATAAGTTTCACCTGGAATTGTTCGTTAAACAGTGTTCCGTTGCTACACAGCTCTGAGCTGACAAGACGCTGTCTCCAGCAGAAGTGGAAAGCCTGAAACAAATTTGTATTTTACAGTAAGCTATAGCTTGTTGGATTTAAGATTTAGGAATTACGGAAGAAAACGTGGATTTTTTGAGAGCTCCAGCTTAGAAATTAATCAGAATAATCATTATTATTAACTACTTTCGCCCGCGTGGAGTTCGGTTATATCGCGTTTCCAAGAGAACCTTTCAAAAGTCTGGGATAAAAACTATCCCATGTTCTTTCTCAAAGTCAACTCTATCTCTGTACCAAATCTCATTAAAACCAGTTCAGTGGTTTAGGCGTGAAAGCGTAACAGACAGACAGAGTTACTTTAGCATTTATAATTTTAGTAGGGATTAGTAGTCAGACTTTGTCCTTTGTTCCAAACCTGACAACCGCTCTGAACATCCGCGTAGTATCCTCTGGGGCGACCCTCACATGAGAACTTGGTAGGAGGGGGCTGGTCGAACACTGGGTACAGGGGCGGCTCGTGTTGTAGGTGTAGGAGGTGATAGGTGGAGAAGTCTTCAGGCCGCTGGCATAGTGACGAGCCTACAGCTGGAAATGAACGTTAAGGAACTATATTCTAATATTTGGATGGGCCCTTGATTTTATTTAGCTGCGCCCGATTTCCGGATTTCCGGGATGTAAAGTAGCCTATGTGTTATTCCTGGACGTTAGCTTCCTGTATACAAAATTTTATCAGAATCGGTTCAGCCGTTTGAGCGTGAAGAAGTAACAAACATACACACACACTCACAAACTTTCGCAATTATAATATTAGTAGGATATGAACGTGTCAAACCCTTAGTAATTCTTTTATAGTTTTCGTACAAGTCTTAGTTATTTTACAGAACAGATAAACAGAAAGACCAAAGTATTGTAAATATAATATATTTGTATTAATATATTCCGTATACACCTGAAAATTTATGAAAATGAAAACCTTTTACTATCTTATCTAACAACTATTCTATCTAAATAAAAAGGGAACGTAAATTTTTACTTATTTATATAAAAAACGTAAGTTTTGTATAATAATTGAGTTTTTATCACTCACCCAACAATAGTAGACAAGTTATTTTAAACATATTAATGAGAGTAAGGCGAGCGTGTGTCTCGTGCTCTTAGATTGTACTGATTTACTTTGAACATAATGTTTAGAAGTCACCGACTACATGTGGACGACACTATGCCATATGTACTCATCAGATATAATATGATTATTCTTATTAGTTACTAGCTGTCGCCCGCGACTCCATCTGCGTAAACGTATAAACAAACAAAATATAATGAGAAAAACGTTTAAGCTCGCCTCACACTCAAACTTGATAACGTTTAACATAGTTATCAAGATATAAAGTAGGCCTAAGTTACTCCTTATTACATTAGCTACCTGGCAAAAAAAGTCCTGTCACAATTGGTCGAGCCATTTTAGAGATTAGATGGAACAAACAAACAGACAAAAATTGTAAAAAATGTTATTTTAGTATATGTATCGTATACATATTCATATGCATCTAAAAAACAGTAATTTCAATATTACAAACAGACGATACAAATTATAAACTGAGTTGACTTTACTTTGTTATGAACTTTAAATATAACACCAATGATCAAGTTATGATTGATTATAAAGTGAAAAATTTATCTGCATTATCGAGAATCGAACCTGCGAATTCCCGAATGTTATGTTGTAGTGGCCCTTAATAATTGAAGTGTCAACAAAACATTTGTTTACAAGGATGTTAAAAATATTTTAAAATAACATAATTAAAGTTTTATAATACCTAACTGTCTACTCGTAAGTCTATAGAAGTAAAATGTTATTTAATTAACACAATAAGATTAGATAGAGTCAAAGGTACCAGGAAAACTATGAAACTTACTTATCTATGTATATATTGCGAAGGCGACCCTAGTTGGTTCTTTTCATTTTTGGTTATGTAGAGAGACGAGCTTGTACAGTGGAGGTGAGCGTTTAACGCGCGTTAGATAGGGACCTCTTAAACCTACACCTGCGTCACAAGTCCCAGTCACTGTTGAAGCTCCTCTCACTACAACGATGGACCCGACACCCGCACCGTGAATATATGGAATGATGATAGGATTCTTTTCTAATAAGAATAACGCAACTAAACCGATTGACCCGATGTTATGATAGCAATACCATTCCATAGCTTGTGTGTATCAGGAATCTTCTGGTTCACACGGCTTGGTGTTCGTTCCGCGGAGTCACCGGCGTCACTCGTTATATATTTTATACATACAACGATGTTGCCCCGGCGATGTTCGTTTAATTTAAAAATGTTTCTCGTATATAACAAATTCCTCTTCATACCATTTCCTGAATAATCAACAAACACACAATAATTATTTTTATATAATAATATAAGCATTGCCGTATATTTTTTTTATAAGTAACAACTGATTGTGTGTTCTTGTATAACACCGTCCGTAGGGTCAAATATCAAATTTCGCGGAGATGAAGGTCGCTGAAACCTTGCTATCCTTTGCTTATCGTATTTTAATATCGTATATTAAAGATTTATTTACAATTACTTTAAATGTAACACTATATCTTAGGCCCGACCTCGCTCGTTAAGCTACTATTAAGACGAAATTCTTTTTGTTTCGTTCCCTAGTACTCAATTTAAGACAATTTATTTATGTAAATTAATATTATATATATACTTATATTACAAATAAAATAGGTATTACCAAAGTTTGAATGTAACTTAATTTATATACATATGTATATAAATAACAAGTCTAGAATCTGGAATAGCGCAGTTATTTAAGCCAAAAAGATATTCTTGAAATATTTTTAATACTTGTCTTTGCCATAATTTTATTTTCAAATATTCCACCTAGCTGACCAGCATCCCATTTAGATGACAAGGTTACTGTCAAAAGATTTATCAACCCAGTTAATGAAGTAACGCCAGCCCAGTCACGAGTGGACGAATGTATCAAATATATTTAAAATCAATATATTATATAGCATAGTTAGATTGTATCGGACATAACTGTAGTGTAGTAATGAGTTTAAACCACTAACTGATGGTTTTAAAGATAATACGATGAATAGAATTCGGTGAAACTGTACGTGTTTATGTACAAAAACTTATACTAAGGATACGATATAAATCTTATTGAAATACTAGCTGACCCGGCAGACTTCGTACTGCCTCAATCAAGAAATAAATATTTTTTTATTTCTTTTTTTAGAGTTTACCTATAAGCCATAAATCTCCGTGTTCTGAAGTGCGACACAATGATCGACATATTATTTAGATGTCAAATGTAATGTCAAAAAAAAGTTTGTATGGGAAATAGAAATTCGCTGTTTTTAGGGTTTTCCCGGAAATAAATAATTTTTTTTGAAAATTCAAGACTAAGATAAGATAAATCTGTTCTGCCGTTCTCGAGTTTTAGCGAGACTAACGAACAGCAATTCATTTTTATATATAGATAATAAGAATTATATTACAAAAGAGGAAATTATTTCAAAAGATAGGATCTCCTATCTAAGTAGTCATGAAGCTACTCCTTGGGGAAAGTGGATCAAGTATCAAGTACTATACATAACAATTATACTTATTATATTTTGAAGATACTATTAAAAAACAATCATAGGAAAGAGGTGGTATTTAAAGAATTTAAATGAATCATAACATAAAAAAACTGTTGTATGAGGAAGATCGTGAAATGTCAGGAGGCGGAACTAACACGATACCTGATGGAACTGATATAAATAAGGAAGAGTGATTTAAATAAAACCAATATTTTTCGGATTTACTACTCTTTTTAATTGTTTTTATCTAAATATTCTCGACATTTCGATTAGTTCGCAGCAACCGTGACCACGGACAGATGAGATTAGGAAATCTCGTCAGGAGAATACCTTCAAAAAAAAAACGCGTAGTGATGTTTATAAATAGACTAGCTTTCCGTCCGCAGCTTCGCCCGCGTGGAGTTCTGTTATATCGCGTTTCCAAGAGAACCTTTCAAGAGTCTGGGATTAAAACTATCCCATGTTCTTTCTCAAGGTCAACTCTATATCTGTACCAAATTTCATTAAAATCAGTTTAGTGGTCCGGCGTGAAAGCATAACAGACAGACAGACAGAGTTACTTTCGCATTTATAATATTAGTAGGGATAGTTCAATTAATAGTTAAAATTATATATATTTTGTACGTAAAATGTAAATACACAGCCTGATGGAAGGCAACCGTGTTCCTATTACGGTAAGTCAACACTCGCTAGCCATCGAGTTGACGGAGGCACGTAAAAAATAACAGATGTTTGTAAAACGTTATTAAACTTTAAATTAAATGAAACTAATATTAACTAAAGATACTTAAAAATACTTAAAGTGAAACTTTTTACATCTTCTTAATAGTTTTAGGGCTATCTATCGCATGTCACATTACAGGCACAGTCAATATGAATAAAGAATTATTTATATAAGTGAAATTTGTTTAGATGTTTTTAAAACATGTACATACATATAATAAAATAATCATTTTAATAATAAATATTAATTAATCATAGCAGTATTTTTAACACAAGTCGCCATCGTCACATTAACTTTTTAATCTAGTGTCAAAATTCAAACTCGGGGTAAGTTTCTAATTGTTATAATTACACTTAATATAATAACTTCAAGAAATTATAAAAAACTAATTATAGCAATGGCCTTTTTATCTTATACTAGAAGACCTGTCGAACTTCGTATCGCCCTATAATCAAGAAATATCTATTACGTTTCTTTATTTATATTTTTAGAGTTTACCTGTAAGCCATAAATCTCCGTGTTTTGAATTGCGACAGAATGATTGACATATTAGTTAGATGTCAAATCTAATATCAAAAAGAATATTTGTATGGGAAATAGAAAAGGGCTATTTTTATGGTTTTCCCAGTAATGAATCAATTTTTTTCAGCTTTTATGCCTTCCCTGAACCTCCACGAACATTTCAAGACTAAGATAAGATAAATCCGGTCAGCTGTTCTCGAGTTTTAGCGAGACTAACGAACAGCAATCCATTTTTATATATATAGAAGATTTCTTACAAATATCAAATTGTTATCCATAGTTTACGTCATTACATATCTGTCATTATACGTCAATTGCATAGCTGTCAATTGTGTTTCGTTATTCCACGTTTTATAGTGACTGACGTTTCATGTCATGTCCCACGGGAATGCTGTCGAACGGGATTAAAAATATCCTATTGGAATTTCCTGGTTCTGAACTACCTCCCTGCCAATTTTCAGCTAAATCGGTTCCGCCGTTCTTGGGTTATAAGTGGAGTAACTAACACAACTTTCTTTTATATATATAGATTTATAAGAAAGTTGTGTTAGTTACACTATTTATAAGTCAAGCGGAGAGATAGATTAGAACCAGGAGACGGACATAGGATATTTAATTCTGTTCGATCGAAAAAGATAAAAATACTTAATATATTCCAATATCCTGTTACTTGCGGTTTTTAGAGTGGAATAGATTTCGATCGGTCAATACATATATTACTAATGACGAACATTAACTCGGACGAAGTCGGGAGCAAAAACTAGTATTTAATATAAATATGATTCAATAGAATTAGCTAAAAGTAAACATAGACGACACTGCCACATCCCTGGACCCCTGAAACGGTCATCTGAAAGTTGTCAAATGACCTCTTGATTTCAAATTGTTGAAACACATATGACCTCGAACATGGAATTTCACCTGAGACATATTACATTATTCTGACAACCTCATAAATAATATACATACAAGAAATATACCCTGGATATGTTTGATAATTAAAATAAAACTGGTAGCTGTTTACTATGAAATATTTTTTGTTTTTCGTAATATACCTAATATATTCATACAAAAATGTTTAAAATGAGAATGTAAATCTAGAGATTATAGAATTAATTCTATTCAATTGTGATTACTTCAAGAATGAACATATATATTTAAAAATAAGTATCCGAAGTCAGTGAAACTAAAATGGTATATAACGAAATAGGTAGAACAATCTTTTCACTTTTATCAATAATTTCAAAAGATAAACTCAATTTACATTC